GCCTAGGATTTTATTCTTCCCCCTATGTGATTATTACTCCCCCAATTCCTTCAATTATGCAAGCAATTAACCCGGATTATTAACCTGAGATGCTAAAATAATCATAACCCGCTTCCGCGTGTATTACGATTCTAATACTCTAGATTCAATTACTATATTCCTATGCAATTAATTCTAGAACACAACATTAAACACAAATCTCAATAATGGCTACCTAAGAGATTAACTATATTCCTATGTTAATACCACAAAGGCTCTTCTACCACAGTTCTAATTATTAACCCGATCTTCCGATTCATGCGATTAACAATAACATAAAAGCGCATAAAGTGGCCAGTTTCATGAACTTAATAAAACAAGTAGAAGAAATAATCCGGAATTAAAACTTGCATAAAATCATAGAATTGGGTTCATAAATCCCACATAGGGTTCCAAATAAAATCCTAGAAATAAAGACTTAGCTACTCGTGATTCTTATGATAAAGAAAATAAAAGAAATAAATTAAATAAGAAAAACTATGCTTGAATCTTCGTTGATCTTCTATGCTCTTGAATTTGCGTCCAAAGATGGATCCCCAATTGTGTGCTTGGCTTGGTCTTATATAGGGTGAAGAACTTGGGGAAGAAGGCAGTTTCCTTGTGCAATTAAAATTCCTTTACCGCGCAACTTCGGGTTATGGGACGGGGGTCCCATAATTTGCACTAAAACTGGGACGGGGTCCGAGCCTTGTTTCTTCAGAATTTTGATATTTTCACTTTTGACCCATATTTTTGCCAAAATTGCACTTTTGACCCCATACTTTTCCAATTCTTCAATTTGTACCTAAAATACAATAAATCAACTTTTTAAGCACCAATTATCATTAAAACACACCAAAAGCTCAAATAAAAAGATACGATAAAGTGTAAAAATATACACTTAACACTCGTTGACTTGCTACTCGTTATGATTTAAGTTGTACGAAATCCCCTAAAAAGAAAGAAAAGAAAAAGACCATACCCCGCAACATCTCTAGTAACTCTCTGCCAGTTCTGATCTGAATATATTTTATTTTGTAACAATATTTTTTTTATCTAAATTCCGAAAGTTCCGATTTCCAATTTTTCGAAACATAATTGAAGTATATATTAGATTCCGATTTTTTTTTTTCAAGAACCATGAAGATATATTCGGCATTCATTCATTACGATAATTAACAAGTTAATTTATTTTACATTTTTCAGACAACAGTTAAGATTAATTTTCTCGTGTGTTTCGTTTAGTTTCGAAACTGCATATGCTTCTAACATTCCTCGATTTTCATTTAATTTGCAATGTGTTTTGTAAGGTGAGATTTTGCTCCGCGAAGACCGTCAAAGAGGAGTATTTTGCAGCAGATACTGTTCCACCTAACTTCAAGTAACAAAACAGACGGGCTTTTTAGTTCTTTGAAATATGAAATCGAGAGATATTCAGCACGGCTCTTTTTCCGATGGAAAATATGACTTACTGTTGCGTATATGTTCGTTATACTTCGGTTATCGTATCTCTGTAACTATCTCTGCTTTACCTATTTTTGGCAGAGACGGGTAAAACTTGTACATTCGACAAATATGTTCGACACACTTACACTTTCTTAATTGCGCAATAGTCTTAATTTTAACCTCACAACATATAACTGATGAAGATGTAATAAAAATTCAATCAAGAAAAATTAAACACACCAAATAACATTAACAAAATATTCAAACACGCTTTGATTTGTCCGTCTCAAAACTGAAAGTACGTTCCTCCGATTCCTTGATGCAAACAATGTCGATGTAATTTCTCTCGTGATCAATCAGCCTACGGCACTTGAGACGATACACCTGTAATAAAGGAGAATGTTCAATGATTTCGGATGTTAATTTTTTTTTACAAATCCATAATAGCAAATTCATTGATCAGTAATCAAATAAATTAATTTGTAATATAATAAAGCGTAAATTACGAAAACCTTCCTGAACTTAAGCTAAATAACGAAAAACACCCGCACCTATCCGTAATAACCGGAATCCCCCTCTGATTAACTGTTAATCGAGTTTTTTAACAGAAAATTTGTACAAACAATTATACCTTCTATTTAATAGGTGAGAAATAAAAGAAAATATGTGCAATTGTGTAAAGTCTATTTCTTGGAATTAAAAAAAAATACTTGAAAACTCACACTGTAAATGGTTGGTGTAAAACGGAAACAAACCTAAGGGGTTTTTGGTAATTACGAATAGGTGGGTTTTTTTTTCCTTATTTAGCCTTAGTTCAGGGAGTTTTCGTAATTTACCCTATAATAAAATCTATCTCTATTGTAGCAAATTCAAACTGTTTCATCCAAACGCAACTTATATGATCCTATTATATGTGTTATCAACCATTTATCTATATTGCCTATTTCTATTGTTTTGTAGGAGAATGTATGCATATATACCGAGTATATCTTTGGTAATATTCATTGTATGATGAAATTATAATAAAAAAATATATATGTTAATTCAAATTTAATACTAAAAAAATTATGGTTTGTTTAATTTAACGACTAACCTTTTGAAGAATCAATGATATGGTAGAGTCACTCACGGTTTGGTGTTCCCATTGTTACAGTGAAGAACGAACAACAAGTTCTAACAAACGTTCACGACCAGCATATTTGTCGTCCCACTCCTCTTTTAACTTGATTGCACATTTCACAGCCATAGGGTTGCATTCGACTACTTTAATGTTTACAAGAGATTTACCAAATGTGAGAGGGATCTCTTTTAACTTGTAGCAATGTGAGATATGAAGGCTCTCAATCACAGGGAGGCAATGACAATTTTGAAATGTCAATTGCTCGAGATCGATGTCTTCAATATTAAGACATAAAAGACTTTGGAATTCGTTGTCACGAACCTCCCATTTTGGGCCTCGAAAGGCATAGCATTCCAGGAAGAGATGTGTAAGATTTGGCAATGAAGAAATCTTTCTCATTTCTTCCCACGGATATCCCAAGCCTTTCAAATATAACTTTGTAAGACTTAATGGGAAGTCTGAAAGAGGAACAAGTGGGGTAACAACATCTGTCTTCAATGTAGGATTCATAATGTAACATCCTAGTTCTTGTAGTTGATGGAGATGGGAAATGTGATCAAAGCATGTCAAGGGCTCTGTAGCATCTGGAGCCAGCTCGATATGAATCGACAACTCCTTCAAATTAGGGATTTTTTCGAGCACAGATTTGGCACAACTTTGAGGACCGACACCACATAGGTTTAAGAGGTTTGGTAGGAGAGATCCTTCACAATAAGGATGTGGTAGGTCTCTTCCGCAGGTGTAAAGATACTTCAATTCATTCATATTCCATATCTCAATAGGCAGATACAATAGATTCCCAATAGATTTTACTATCTTTAGATGTCGAACAACAATCAAGTTTTGAAGGTTCCAGAGTTTGAAAATGGAAGAAGGGAGGTTTCCATTATAAAGGAGGGCGAGGTATCTTAATTGAACTAGTTTCAATACTTTTATCGGGAACTCATAGAATCTAATAGAACGAGCTTCCAATACCCTCAGCAACCTCAAATGTTCCAAAAACAGCGGTACTGGATATTTATGAAAATAACCGGTACAAAGGAGAGATCGTACCTTTGAATCAGATGCAATTGAGTTGTGCACATCTTTGATGGCAAGTAGAACATTATTACGGATGCACAATCGGCGCTGGCTTTCTATACCTTCTTCCGGTAGAGTATCGCCATGGCAATTTAAGGCATAGAACAACTTGGTCCTAGCAGCTTCTTTGTTACACAAGTACCAAAAGGACGAATGAAGGTGCAAACGAGATGTTTCATTGTCGAACATGATAAGATTTTTGGCACGAAGGTCATACAAATATTCATAGCTATCATATGTACAATTCATGGTCGGCTCTGAGTATTGCATTGATTCTGAGTTAAGAAATCCTTCAGCACTCCACAAGTTGGCTAGTTGGAGCAGGTCTAGCAAATAATTTTGTGGGAAAGCTCCAATGTAGAGAAAACATGCTTTTAAATGTTGATCTAAGTAGTCATAGCTTGGATATAGTACCTTTGACATTTGTTCATATGCATCCTTGTAAACTGAATTTTGTTTATCATCCGCTACCTCGTTCCAGTACTCTATTGTCTTGTCAACTTTTGACAGGATATTGGCAACCGTGATGATTGTAAGAGGAAGACCTTCACAATTCTCGGCAATCTTCTTTCCAGCTTTCTCAAGTCCATAAGAGCACGGTTCTTCTTCACCAAACACCTTCTCACGAAGAAGATCCCAACTTTCTTTCTTATCAAGGAAGAATATATTGAAAATATTCAAAGGCTTAGCACAATTAGCTACTTCTTCCATCCTAGTTGTGACCAACACTCGACTTCGATATTTGTCGTCTGGAAATAACTCCAACAACACAAAACAGAGGTCCATTTCCCATACATCATCCAACACGATCAAGAATCTCAAATGCTTTAAACTTTCGTAAACCATCCTTTTCAATCCAGCTAATCCTTTTTCTCCTTTCATAAGCATTATTTCATCAATGTCGGAATTCACTTGTGTTAGAATATCCACCAAGATATCCGCTAGTCGATATTTAGGGCCTATGGTCACGAACACGAGCCTGATATAACAATTCACAATGAATGGATCTTGAAAGAGTTTCTTGGCAAGAGTAGTCTTACCAATTCCCGCCATCCCATTGAGCGAGACGATCATCCCTTCAGATTGCTCGGAATCAAGCCGATCTTTGATTGTCATAAATAGATCAGATAAACCAACCATGTTAGACTCATTTACACCAAAATCGATTCTTGACGGGACAACACCATCTTCTTCTTCTTCAGGCGAAGGGTTGCATAACTCATGGACGTAGGCCCTCTTCATAATGTTCATTGTTTCGATAAAGGAATCGACATCTTGCTTTATTTCCTGCACATCTACCGAGAATACCATTGATGGAGGATGATCGGCCGTCTCTTCTTCTTCTTCAGATTGTGAATGGAACTGATTTGAGAGATGAGGGTCGATTACATCTTCGAATTTGTATATTGCCTCTACCATTTCCGCCTCCAAACTTTTCACCATCTTCATGTTGATGGTGCTCCTCTTTTTATCGAATTCTCTGAGAGCTTCTTTTAAGGAAAGAATCTCCTTGTACAAAAGTTTGATGATTTGTGGAGATGAATTTTGAACAATCGAAATATAAGATGATTTCAAAAGCCGCTCAATTGTCAGCTCCAGACAACCAGCAGCACCATAAGCCATCTCTTTCAATGCTCTCTCTCTCTCTCTCTCTCTCTCTCTCTCTCTCCTCTCTCTCTCTCTCTCTCTCTATCTCTCTCTCTCAGATCTCACACTACTAATTTCAGTTAACTGGAAATATGGAACAACTCTTCTACATAAGCATTTGTTTGTGAAATTATAACTATGCAAGAGAATTATCTAAGAGAAGAAGACTAAATTAATCTTTCCGAACTCAAAAGTTATTTAAGGAGAAACTCAATGGTCAATTTTTCAATGACAAATGTGAAAGGAAGAAAAATTGAAACGCTGAATATTTTCATCCATAGATTTATGGATATCCATTTTTGTCCAACAGCTATTATAATTCTTGACAGAGACGTTTATCTACCTTTTTGTCTTCAGTTTTAAAGAGGGTAAATTTCACTCACCACATTTGTATTTGGCTCGATATCACTTTACACCATTATACTCTCGATTGCATTGATTTGGGCCCCCGTACTTGAAAAATTGTTTCAATGTGGTCATCGTTGTTAGTTGTCAGACATTCAACCTTAACACAGTTCCGTCTAAGCTCTGAAATTACAAAAACATCACCCCTCCCAATTTAAATAATTATTAAAAAAAATAAAAAAAAATAATAAAAAAATCAAGACAACGAGAAAGTATAGTCCACATCGGCAACCACAATTTATTTTAATTTTTTTTTAAAAATTAAAATAAAAAAAAAATAATTATTATTTAAACTGGGATGTGAGGTTTTTTTGTAATTTTCAGACTTAGATCAAACGGTGTTATAGTCAAATGTCTAAAGACTAACGGCAAGGGCTACATTGAGACAATGTTTCAAGTACATGGAGTCAAATCGATATAATTGAGAGTATAATTGGGTAAAGTGATATCGAGCCATAGTACTAGGGGGGAAAGTGGAATTTATCCTTTTAAAAAATATCTAACATCCAACGTATGCTTCTCTCTCTTTCTCTCTCTCCCAAGGTCAATTATGTAATATGTTTACTCGATTGACATTTTCCATGTGCAGTTTGATACATTAATCAAAGAAGATTGAGTCTTAGAGGGTGTTTGGCTAAACTTATTTTAAACAGCTGATAAACTCTTACGTCTGATAAGATGCTTTAAGAGCTGATAAGTTGTTACATCTTATTTTTAGGATTAATTTTTAGAGTGTTTGGATAATGGGCTTATTTCCTATTTTTACTCATTAAAAGATCTTAAATAAAAATGTGGGATAGAGGTACTTATTTAAAAAGATCTTATGTGTTTCCACCAAATAAACTGTTCCGCCTAACTTCAGGTAATGAAATCGAGAGACTCAACAAATGATCACCTACAATTACTCTTCGTCGAGAAAGATTTATTGCTCAAAATTGTCGGGACTCGCGCCTTTTTTTTTCCGATGAAAATATAACTTGCTGTTGCATTCTGCTAAACAAATAATTAGCAACTAACTAAAAAAACCGTCTATTAACTGAAATATTAGGATCGACATCGAACAAACAAGACAAAAAGGAAGTTGAGTCGAGTATTGCACAAGAAAGTTGAAGATGAGAATTACTTGAACAATATATGAATACAAGAGAACTCAAAACCAAATCTTTCACCATCTAACGATAACTCATGAATATCCAAGCTTCGTATTAACATAACACGTGCAACGTCCGTGCACTTTTTTAATAATTGCATAAAAGTCTTAATTTTAAACCTCACAACATATAACTAATGAAGATGAACACAATAAAATAAAATAATAATAATAAATAATAAATAAATATCAAATGCACGTTTATTTATCGGTCCCAAAACTCGAAATACGTTTCTCCAAATCCAAGATGGATACAATGCTGAATGCAATTTCTCCCTATGGCTCTTGAAACAATATACCTGTAATAAAATTAAAGGAGCATGGTCAATGATTTCGGTTTGAGGAATTCGGGTGTTAAAAATTTAAAATTCATAATAGCAAATTCATTGATCAAATAATCAAATATATTAATTTGTAATATATTTCAAACTCTCAACTCTTATTTGTTTGAGTTTCTTGTTTTTTAGTTTATTACAGCAGTGAATTTCAAATCAATCCCAATTTCATTCTAGCTTTCTTTCAAATTCTCTAGCTCCTCACAATTCAAACAGTTTCATCCAAACGCAACTTATATTAGAGTAAACTGCAAAAAGTAACCATGTGTTATCAACCATATATATATATGGGCTAAATACAGTTTGCACCCCTGTACTATTACCACTGTCGCATTTACCCCCCTGTACTATGAAATGCGACAAAACGCCCCCTCACCTTAACGGTCAACTCTCACATATCTAACGGTGTTAGTTTCTGCTGTGTAATTATATTTTTACCCTTTCTTTTATTTGATAGAATTAGCCATTTTTATACTTTGTAATTTGGGACAAAAATATCAAACACGTTCAGCAAAATTATCCGACACGGATTATTGACAGTCCAAGATGTTCGAACTGCGGCGCTGCGATTGCATCGATAAGTGGTTTCTGAAAAATATGTCTTGTAGTGTTTGGACCTAAAACACGAATTTGAGAATTTGAACTGTCGGAAGACATTTTTAAACCGATTAATTATGAATTTAAAAAAAATAAAAAATTCTAGAATATAAATTTTTTTCAGAAATTTTGGGTAAAAAAAAAAGGGCTTAAAATGAAAATTAGGAAGAAATGGGAAAGGAATTGAGTACAAATGAGTGAAGAATGATGCACCCCTTTTGTAGACAATTAGAGGGGTGTTTTGGTCAGAATTTTTCCAACGACTACTTCAACAGTCAGTCAACATTTGAAAGGGACGGCTTTTGTAACGGAGATGGACGGCAGGGGGCGTTTTGTCGCATTTCATAGTACAGGGGGGTAAATGCGACAGTGGTGATAGTACAGGGGTGCAAACTGTATTTAGCCCTATATATATCTATTGTCTATTTATAGTTGTTTTGTAGTAGAATATATACATATATATTGAGTATATCTTTAGTAATATTCACTGTATGACGAAATTATAAATAAATAAAAATTAAATTCAAATCTATCAGTCTTATAGACCTCAAATTCTAAACTTTTGATAGAAATAAAAAAATTAATGACTAACCTTTTGAAGAATCAATATCATGGTAGAGTCATGGCTTGGTGTTCCCATCATTTCATTATAGTGAAGAACGAATATCAACAGTTAATGAACGTTTACCATCGCCATAGTTGTCGTCCCACTCCTTCTTTAACTTTGTTGCCCAATTCATCGCCATAGGGTTGCAGTCGACTACTCGAATGTTTAGAAGAGATGTACCAAACTTCAGAGGGATCTCTTTTAACTTGTAGCAATGTACGATGCGAAAGTACTTAATCGCAGGGAGGCACAAATTCGTTGACACAAACTTCCATTGCACCAGATCAGCGTCTTCAATGTGAAGAAATTCAAGACTTTGGAATTCGCTGTCACGAACCTCCCACTTTGGGCCTCGAAAGGCGTAAAGACTCAATGTCATATATTTAAGATTAATGTCATATATTTAAGATTTGGCAATAAAGAAATCTTTCTCATTTCTTCCCATGGATATCCCGAGCCTTTCAATATTAACTTTGTAAGACTTGATGGCAAGTCGGAAAGAGGAGCAAGTGGGGCAGTTACAACCTCTGTCTTCCATATGGGATTCACAATGTCACATTGCAATGCTTGTAGTTGATGGAGATTGGAAATGTGATCAAAGACTCTCAAGGTCTCAGTCGCATCGGGAGATAGTACGATTTGAATTCCTAAATCCTTCAGATTCGGGATTTTTTCAAGCACGTCTTTCGTACAACTTTGAGGACCGACACCAATGAGTTGTAAGAGTTTTGGTAGGAGAGATCCTTCACATGGATATGCGGTAGGTCTCCTCCCACACACTGTAGATACTCCAATTCTTTCATATTCCATATCTCAATAGGCAGATACAGTACATTCTCAACATAATTTACGATTCAGTATCGACCAACAATCAAATGCGGAAGGTTCGAGAGTTTGGAAATAGAAGGAGGGAGGTCTCCATCATAAGTAAGGGCAAGGTATCTTAGTTGAAATAGTTGCATCACTTCCATTGGGAACTCATATCGAGCTTCTAATACCCTGAGCAACTTTAAATGTTCCAAAGGTAATGGCACTGGATATTGATGAAATGGACCGGTACATAGAAGAGAGCGTACATTTGACGCAGATGCAATTGAGTTGTGCGCATCTTCAATAGCAAATAGAATACTATTTCGAATGCACAATCGACGTTGGTACTCTATACCTTCTTCTGGTAAAGCATCGGCAAGACAATTTAAGGCGTAGAACAACTTTGTCTTGACAGCTTCTTTGTTACACAGGTACCAAAATGATGAATAGAGTTTATAACCAGATACTTCTACATTAAACATGATAACACTTTTGGACAAAAGTATATCCACATAATCATAGGTAAAACTTATTTCTTGCATTGTAAATAACATGCACCAAACCCCCTTGTGTTATAAAAAAATTGCATGAAACCTTCTAAATAGTTAACGGTGTTAATTATTAACAGAATGGGGGATTTCATGCAAGGTAAAATAAAACACAGGGGGATTCTACGCAATAAAGTTAACACATGGGGGTTTGGTGCATGTTTTCCATAACACAGAGGGTTTTATGCAGTTTACCCTTTTCAACAATATTAATATTTGGGTGGGATTAGTGAAAGAACGAAATTGCCCTTCAAATTGACCGGGATATGGAAAAACCGGTGAAAATACGCCGGAAAGTCACATTTGGGGCAAAGTTCAAGTATAACAAAATTTGAAAGGGGAGAGTCTATTTTTTTTAGTTTGTAGGGGAGAAAGTGCCAAAACTAGAAATTTCTAGAGGGCGAAATGCATTTTGTCCTAAAAATAATGAAGAGAAACTCAAAACAGTTATGAGTGTGTTAGTGTGTAAGAGCGAGGTCATGAATTCGAGAGAGAAAACTCTATGTTTTCCATCTTTTAAACATGTTCACCAATCACCACCTACTGCAACTCAATACGCAAGCTCCGTATCAACACAGTATGTGCAACACGTACAATTTCTTAATTGCATCAAAGTCTTGTAATTTTAACCGTACAACATATAACTAATGAAGATGTACAAAAAAACAAAAACTCATCAAGAAAAATTAACCACACCAAATAACATTATCAAGAAATGTATAACAAAATATTCAAACACACTTTTATTTGTCAGTCCCAAAATTCAAAAGTTTGTTCCTCCAATTCCAAAGATGCAAATAATGCTTATGTAATTTCTCGCATGATCAATCAACCTATGGCTTGGTGTTCCCATCATTACAATGAAGAACGTACGTCAAGAAGTAACGAACGTTTACCATCACCATATTTTTCGTCCCATTCCTTCTTTAATGTTTCTGCACAGTTCACAGCCTTAGGGTTGCAGTCTAATACTCGAATGAATGCGAAAGATGTACCAAATGTACGAGGGATCTCTTTTAACTTGTAGCAATCTGAGATGCAAAGAACCTTGATCGCAGGGAGGCATGAATTCTTCGATGCCACAAACTTCCAGTGTTCCAGATCAGTGTCTTCAATACGAAGATCTTCAAGCTTTTGGAATTCGTTTTCACGAACTTCCCACTTTGGGCCTCGAAAGGCATAGAGACTCAGTGTCAGATATTTAAGATTTGGCAATGAAGAAATCTTGCTCATTTCTTCCCACGGATATCCTAAGCCTTTTAAAATTAACTTCGTAAGACTTGAGGGGAAGTCTGAAAGAGGAGCAAATATCGGATACAACAGAAATTTCAAAATTGAAGCAGAAAAAACAGCAAATTCGGTCGCTATAAACCGAATTACTGAACCAAATTCTAATTCAACGTGAAAACGGAATAAGAATACAGCATGTCACATATTAATTAGATGCAGTTACTGCAGAGCGTGCGAAGTTTCATTTGCGCGAGATGACTATATATGGAGAGGCAAAAAAATTGAGTTAATTTGAAGAATATGGCTTTTCTGGAATTGCCAAGGATTGAATTGAAAATTTTGAAAAACTTCATTTTGGGGTGAATATGTAATTTCTGAAATTTATAATTGAAAGGATATTTTGGTCTTTCCAGGGTAAAAAATACACACCAAGACACAAAATCCGTGCGTGTATAGTACACGATAAGATTTCAAGGTCCTTATTGCATTTGACTAAAACGTGAGAATATTCAGGTGTAAAGTTTTAACACGTATAAAGAATATTCGATCGTGTAAAGTTTTCTTTCGATTATTTTATCTAAAACGTATTTCCATGCTTTAAATTGTCCCCGTGCATCGCACGGGTGAAATACTAGTTTTCATTATTTTGCTATTTTTTTTAACACGAGGGGTGGTTTTTGCAAAAAGCCCCATATTATTTACTTAATAAGGAAGATGTAAGGAAAAAAAAAATCAAAAATACAATTAACCAACCAAATAACATTAATCGATCAACAAAATATTAAACACACTTTTATTTGTCAGTCTCAAAACTCAAAGTACGTTCCTCCAATTCCAAGATGCAAACAATGCTGATGGAATTTCTCTCGTGATCAATCCGCCTATGGCTCTTGCAACAATACCTGTAATAAACGAGCATGGTCATGATTTCGCATCGAGGAATTTGGAAGCTCAAAACTTTAAATTCATTATAACAAATTCATTCATCAATAATCAACTACATTATATAGATTGAATAGATCTTTGATATATTCATCGTATGATGAAATTAAAAAAAAAAAAAAAAAACAAATTGATTATCGGCATGTTTGACCTCAAATCCTTATTAGTAGTGTTCAAAATTCGATCATTTGATAGAAATAAAAATTGAATGACTAACCTTCTGAAGAATGAAAACTGTATATAGTAGAGTTGGTTTGTCTTCCCATCTTTACAGTAGTGAAGAAGAATCATTGAGATCTAATGGACGTCCATGACAGCCATATTTGTCGTCCCACTCCTTCTTCAATTCCATTGCACAATCCACAACCATAGGGTTGCAGTCAGCGACGTCAATGAATTCAAGAGATGTACCAAATGTCAGAGGGATCTCTTTTAACTTGTAGCAATGTTCGAAGCTAAACCACTTAATCGCACGGAAGCAGGAATTTGTTGTCACAAACTTCCATTGCACTAGATCGGTATCTTCAATATTAAGAACTTCGATTCTTTGGAATTCATTGTCGTGAACTTCCCACTTTGGCCCTCGAAAGGCGTAGCATTTCAATTTGAGATGTCTCAGATTCGGCAACGAAGAAATCTTGCTCATTTGTTCCCACGGATATCCTAAGCCGCTCAAAGTTAACATCGTAAGACTTGATGGCAAGTCTGAAAGAGGAGCAAGTGGGGAGACAACCTCTGTCTTCAATATAGGATTCATAATGTAACATTCTAGTTGTTCTAGTTGATGGAGATGGGAAATGTGATCAAAGCAGCTCAACGGCTCAGTAGCATCAGGAGCCAGTTCGATTTTAATTGCTAACTCCTTCATATTAGGGATTTTTTGAAGCACATATTTGGTACAACTTTGAGGACTGACGCCTCTTAGTTTTAATAGGTTTGGTAGGAGAGATCCTTCACAAGGATGTGGTAGGTTGCTTCCCATGGTCTGAATATGCTTCAATTCTTTCATATTCCATATCTCAATAGGCAGATATGATAAATTCCCACCTCGATTTATGATGCTTAGATGTCGATCAACAATCAAGTGCTGGAGGTTCCAGAGTTTGGAAATTGAAGTAGGGAGATTTCCATCATAAGTGAGGGCGATGTATCTTAACTGAACTAGTTTCAATACTTCCATCGGGAACTCATAGAATCTAATAGAAAGAGCTTCCAATACCCTGAGCAACCTTAAATGTTCCAAACACAACGGTACTGGATATTCTTGAAAATCACCGGTACAGAGGAGAGAGCGTACCGTTGCAGCAGATGCCATTGAATCTTGTACATCTTCAATCACAAATAGAATACTATTGCGAATGCACAATCTGCGTTGGTATTTTATACCTTCTTCTGGTAAAGCATCGGCACGACAATTGAAGGCATAGAAAAACTTGATCTTGGCAGCTTCTTTGTTACACAGGTACCAAAAGGATGAATGAAGGTGTTGACCGTGTTTTTCTTTATGGTACATGATAACATTTTTCGAATGAAGCTCATCCAAATAAGCATAGGTGCTTTTTTCGAAAGCCACGGTTGCGTCTGAGTAATGCATTTGTTTTGGGTTAAGAAATCCTTCAACACTCCACAAGTTGATTAGTTGGTATCCATGTACCGAATAATTTTGTGGAAAAACTCCAAGGTAGAGAAAGCATGCTTTTAAATGTTGGTCTAAGTAGTCATAGCTAGGATAAAGTACCTTTGACATTTGTTCATATGCATCCTTGTATACTGAATTTTGTTTATCATCCGCTACCTCGTTCCAGTACTCCATCGTCTTGTCGGCTTTTGACAGGATATTGGCAACCGTGATGATTGTAAGAGGAAGACCTTCACAATTCTCTGCAATCTTCTTTCCAGGTTTCTCGAGTTCATGTGGGCAGGGCATTTCATCAAACACCTTGTGACGAAGAAGATCCCAACTTTCTTTCTTATCAAGGAAGGGTATTCTCAAAGTACTTAAATAGTTAGCACATTGAGCTACTTCTCTTAGCCTAGTTGTCAACAATACTCGACTTCCATTTTTCTCGTCCGGAAATAAGTTCACCAACTCACAACAGAGCTCTTTGTCCCATACATCATCCAACACAATCAAGTATCTCCAACAAATTAAACTTTCAAACACCATCCGTTTCAACTCGGCTAATTTTTTTTCTCCTTCCATAAGCATAATGTCATCAGCATGATTCATTTGTGTTAGAATATCTACCAATATATCCGCTACTCGATATTTTGGGCCTACGGTGACGAACACATGTGTGTCGTAACTATTGGAAATGAATGGATCTTGAAAGAGTTTGTTGGCAAGAGTAGTCTTACCAATGCCCGCCATCCCATAGAGCGACACAATCATCCTTTCAGATCGTGATGAATTTATAAGCCGATCTTTGATCCTCATAAATAGACGAGATAAACCAACCATGTTAGACTCATTATTTCCATCAAAATCAATTCTTGACGGCACAACATCGTCTTCGTCTTCGGGCGAAGGGTTGCACAACTCGTGAATGTAGGCCGTCTTCATCTCCTTCACCGTTTCGATAAAGGAATCGACATCTTGCTTTATTTCCTCCACATCTAATGAGTGAACCATTAACGGAGGATGATCGGTCTCTTCGTCAGATTGTGGTGAATGAAACTGATTTGAGAGATGGAGGTCGATTACATCTTCGAATTTGTATACAACATGTATGATTTCTGCCTCCAAAGTTTTGACCATCTTCATATTAATGGTGCTCCTCCATGCATTGAATTCTTCCAGAGCTTCTTTTAATGAAAGAATCTCATCGTACAGATGTTTTAAGATTTGCGGGGATGAATTTTGAACAATGGAAATATTTGAGGAATTTAAAAGGCGCTCAGTTGTCAGCTCCAGACAACCAACAGCACCATAAGCCATCTCTCTCCCTGTGCAAAAGAAGTCTTCTTCATAAACATTTGTTTGTGAAGTTATTGATCTGGAAAGATGTGCAAAAGAGTCAACTATATGAAATAATATTTATATATTAATCCAAGTTGGCCATTAATTAACTTATCTTAGTTACAGGTTGTGATATTGCATTATTCTTCATTATATTAATATACGGAAAATTACAGTTTTCATCTCTCAAGTTTACACTGATTTTATAATTGGTTCTCTATGTTGACAAAACACACATTTGGTTCCTCGTATTTCAATAATTTAGCACTTTTGGTTATTTTCATCAATTTATCGTTAGTCCGTCAGTTAAGGCAGTGATGTACACATGCTTGATTCCGTTAGTACTGACGGAAAATTGACGGAAATGACTAAAAGTATTGAATTTTGAAACATAAGGGACCAAATGTGTTTTTTGTAAACGTTGAGGACCAAAAGTGTAATCAGTGCAAACTTGAGGGACAAAAACTGTATTTTTTCCTATTAATATACTACTCCTTTTCGGTTTATATATATTTTTCGACCATTTTGGGAGATGATTAAGCTGTTGGTACAACAATCATATGCCTCACTGCAAGTAAGCATTAATTTGCAGAAAATAATTAAGATTAATGGCTTCTGCAAGTGCTTCATTCTTATATGGGAAAATTACACTTTCCATCGCTCAAGTTTGCATTGGTTTTGTATTTGGTCACTATGTTCACAAGAAACACATTCGGTCCCTCATGTTTCAATAATTGGACTTTTTGGTCATTTCCGTCAATTAACCGTTAATCTGTCCCTTAAGAGAGTAACGGACACAGGCTTGATTCGGTTTGTACTAACAGAAATTTGACGGAAATGACCAAAAGTGTTAAATTATTGAAACATGAGGGACCAAATATGTTTTTTTGAACATGGGGGACCAAATGTGAAATTGATGTACTGGAGGGGTGAAAAATGTAATTTTCTCATTTATATAAGAATGTGCGGCTCAGTTATATTCATTACATTTTGACAGTGTTCTAAATATCGGTTGTGGCGGCCGATATATCGGCCGCCATATCGGTGGCGGTCATAAACTTTTACGATATTTGTGTGGCGGTTTTGAAAATCGGGTTTTTGACGGTGAAGCGGTCCGAGGCGGTCTGTGGCGGGTCAAACAGATATATCGGGTCAAACTTCGAGCGATATATCGGAAATTTTTTTTTTTTCTAATTTTTTATTACAAGGAAAATAGGGTGTTTATTATTATTATTTTTTTTCAATTTCAACCCATTATCTCTTTCAATCAAACCTAAACTTAGCGACTCCGTAAGAAAAACCTGGCCTAAAAAAAACAAAAATACATAACAATCCTGACACCGCCGCGGCATTCTCTATCTCACTATTAATGTTAAACTTTTGTTATGTGATTAGAATATATAAACGATGAGGAGATAATCAAATTCAATTTTGTTTTATACGTTTTAAGTATTTATAATTAATATTTAGAAATATATTACACTAAATCTAAAAACCGATTTATTTCCGATATATCTCCGATTAATCACCGCCGCACCGATTTATCGTGTGGCGGTCTCGAACCGCCTCGGACCCGATAACCGATATTTAGAACTTTGCTTTTTGATAAGAATGAAGGTCTCGACAGTTGAGCATATAAAAATGAGTTGAGCAGGAATATAACAAGAAGGGTGAAAAGCAATTTGCCCCCGAAATTAAGGTCGATTTACACTTTGTCCCCCAAACTAAGGGGCGAAGTGCAAATCGACCCTTAGTTTAGGGGCAAACGGTTTTTTACCCTAGTAAGAATAACCTATAACAATGGCGCATTGAGGTTGGTAATCAGGTTTTAGATAAAGTGTCACCATTTGGAAGGTATATATAAATTATTAAAGTTCATCCATAACAATTTGCTCAAACTAAATCAATCATGTTAATCAACGATTTGTACGGTTTAAATATAACATTTAACATTTACCATGAATCATTCACACTTGGAAAGTTTGGCCTTATAACGAGGATTCATAATACACGCGCTCAAATGAATTCAAATCCTCGATCTCTCACCAAACTCCTGCATGAAAGAGAAATCAAACGAAAATTTACTAAAATGAAACACATCAACTATGTCCACAAAAGGCAACATCTTCTTTATTTTTTTCACTAAATGTCTGTAAAAAAAAAAAATTAAAATGGACAACGGTTGTCGATTTTTCGGATTTTGATCCACTTGTTAACTCTCGATCGAGATCTGATCAATTGAATACAAACCACAATTTGTTAAAAATGAGGATCACGGTTCACTCATTAAACTCTTTAAAAGAGATGACTTGTTAATTCAACTCTAAGAAAGAGGCTTTTGTATATTTATGGACTTGTATAGAAAAGGAGAAATTGTGTTCTTATGACAATTTAACTTTATTGTGAATTTAGCCAATTTTTCATATGTATATTTACTTTTTCAAAATAAAAAATGAGATTAAAAAAAACATAAAGAGAGGCCTTAAGAAGTATAAATATATAAATGAAGGGTAAATTACAACCCCGAGGTAAGGTATATTTACAAAAAAATCACCTCATTTTTTCATAATTACATCCACCCATGTATTTTGTAGATTTTTTACACTAACATCGCTCTTTAGGGATGGATGTAAGAAATTTATAAACTGAGGGGGCTAGATGTAATTTCTAAAAAATGAATAGTTTTTTTTTTCGTAAATAAGCTTACTTCACAGAGTGAGAGGAAAAGCCCATCTTTCTTCTTTTACCGCTACTTTTTTTCTTTTAATATTTTCCCACCCATTTTTCGCGGCTAATTTTCTGTCTCACACATTAGTGTGTGTATGTGCGTGTGAGAGACTGAGGAGGTCATGAATTCGAGAGAGATAACTCTGTTCACCGCCGCAACACTGTTCGGCGCGGTGGCTTCCGCCATCTCCGTCGGCCTGTTCTTCAACACCAGAAGCTCCAAATCCCGCCGCTCATCAAACGGCGTCGTCGGAAAGAAATTATCTCCTCGTCAGAGCCCCTTTGATCCCGCAAAACGGAAAGGGTCAGTGGCACTTCTTCCCCCTTTTTGAAGATTCTTCTGTTGATTTTTGGAGTTGTTTGAAATACGATTAACTATCAAAAATTCATGAATTTTTCTTTGAATTTATGTATTTTGAGCTAATTGTTTTTGAAATTATGTATTTTGAGCTTATATTTGGAGTATATACTGCTAAGCACAATATAATTTTATATTATTGGGTAAATTACGGCCACCTCCTGAGGTAGGTCAAATTATGAAAAAAACCCTCATCTTTAGGTAACTACAACCACCTCTTATCCACGAATCTTCTTATACGTCTACCCTTGTGTTGTCTAATTGAGTGGAATATTCTCCAGTTTGTACCCGTTTTACCCCGTTTGAGCACCACATTTTGAAACAAAATGACCATTATAAGATGTATCTTGACTTGTAAATATCCGATTGTGGTGCATCATATCCTGTATTTTTGCATGTATTTTTGCACAAAACGAGTACAAATCAGAGAACATTTCGTGGAATCTAGAAGATTCTGCTTACTTTGATGGACGTGTAAGAAGATTCATAGTTGAGAGGTGTTGTAATTACCCAAACAATAGAGGGTTTTCCGTAATTTGACATTACCATAGGGGGGTGACTGTAATTTACCCTATAATTTTTTGAAAAGTTTTTTGGTGTACGAACTAGAGAACATTCAATGGAATCTAGAAGATTCTGATGAATTTAACACCATAAGGTGTAAACGTGTAAGAAGATTCATAGTTGATGGGTGATTGTAATTATCCAAACATGAGGGGTTTTTCGTAATTTGACCTTACCTTAGCGGGTGACTGTAACTTACCCTATGATTGTTTGAGAAGTTTTTGGGTGTACAACTAGAGAACATTCCACGGAATTTAGAAAATTATGTTGAATTTTAATCACAATAACTGTTGACATGTAAGAAGATTCATAGTTGAGGGATGGTTGTAATTACCCAAACATGAGGGGTTTTTTCGTAATTTGACCCTACCTCAACGGTGGCCGTAATTTACCCTATAATTGTTTGAGAAGTTTTTGGATGCACCAAAACTTAGATGCCTTTTGCTTCAAATTTTGGTGTAAAATTAAATGTATTTGAATTGCAGATATCTATCTTGGGATGACTACTTCATGGCAATTGCATTTCTATCAGCAGAAAGGTCAAAAGATCCAAATAGACAGGTTTATTTACTACGTTATTACAGACTTACGGTAGTACTTCAAAACAACACACAAAATATATGAAGAGTTCAGTTTAATTTATATTTCATATTAAATTTCCGACTCTATATCGTTTTTCGATTAATCTTTAGTTCTTGTTCTTATAGGTTGGTGCTTGCTTAGTGAGTGAAAAGGGTATAATACTTGGTAAGATTGCTTGATGAACTGAATTATTGCTGTTACAATACTTTTCAGCTTCGTTTTTTTTATTGTATTTTATTATTGTTTCGTTAAGGTATTGGCTACAACGGGTTCCCACGTGGATGCTCAGATGACAAGCTTCCATGGTCTAAGGTTCGAATCTTTTTTTCCATCTTTAGACGAAAGAAAAATCGAATAACCAAGTTTGACTATTTCTTAATTACTCGTGTGTGACATCAGAAATCCAAGAATGAGAATCCCCTCGAAACAAAGTACCCGTAAGTAGTACAATATTGCAATTATTAAAATTTGTTCGATTTCCAAATTGTAACGATCAATTATCATGGTCTCGTGCAGTTACGTATGCCATGCCGAAGTCAATGCTATCTTGAACACGAATCATGCATCTGCTGCAGGCCAAGTTAGTATTAATCTAATTCGTTTGTCGATTTTTTTTTCTATTGCTTTCTGAATTTACGACTTTTAATAGTATGTTGACATGTAATTTACCTTCGCAGAGGCTTTATGTCACGATGTTTCCTTGCAACGAGTGTGCGAAGATAATTATTCAGGTGAATTAAATACTTCTCTATCTCACAACTCAAATTACGCAAACTACTATCTAAACATTTGTCCATCAAACACTATATATTAACATGGACGAAGGAGGTGAATAAGAGGCGAAGAACTTAGGGCCCGTTTGGCTAAGCTTATTTTAAACGGGAGATAAGCACTTACGTTTGATAAGTCGTTTTAAGAGCTTATAAGCTGTTACGTCTGATTTTTAGTAATTTTTAAAGTGTTTGAATAATGAGCTTATAAGCTATTTTTACTAGTTATAAGATCTTAAATAAAAAAGATGTGTAGGGGGTGCTTTTTAAAAAAGATCTTAAAAGTTCTCCGGCAGTTTATTTCAAAAAAAAAATTAAGATCTTTCAAAAACAATTACCAAACACTTCGGAAGTGCTTATAAGCTCGAAAACATCTTATAAGCTCTTTTTAACAGCTTATATAAGCTTAGTCAAACACCCTCTTAATATGGTAGATACAATTTTTTTTTTTCAGTCACCATTCAGATTATGGTTAATTGCATGCAGCACCCCTATGTTTACTCTAGTTGTTAGAAAACTTCCCCGTGTTATAGATATTAACAAATCTCCCTATGATTCAATTTTATTAGCAACCACCCCATCTACATCATTTAAGGGGTTGTGTATTAAAAAAAAAGCATTGTAGGGGTGTTTTTGCTAATATTTACAAAACAAGGAGTTTTCAGCAATTCGATATGACACAAGGGGGTGCTGAATACAATAAACTCATTTATGCTATAGTGATTTCCTTTTCGTGGTAACTGATTGGTCGAGTTTTCAGTCAGGTGTTTCGGAGGTTATCTACTATGTGGAAAAGCGATTGGATAATTCAGACACCACCTACGCTGCTTCTAACAAACTTCTATCGATGGCGGGTGTGAAGGTAATCTAATGTAGTATCTTTGTAATGCTTTCAATCGTCTTTAATCTTAAAAGATTGTCATCAAGAAAATATATAAATAGAAAGAGACGAAAATATGTTGTTTTTTAGTGTTTTATAATTTTATTACGTTCGAATGTTTGTCTAGTTTTAATCTCGTACCGTTTGTTAACCTATGAAGCCATTTTGCAAAATCTTAGTATAGCCATAGGTCGCTTACACTGACATCGAAATTTCTCGTTTTTAAGGTAAGGAGACTTCAGCCGCAGATGGATCAGATTTTGATCAAATTCGACGAGTTTTAAAAAGCTTGTAAAGATAGCTGCATGTCTGAAGTATGTTATCCTTCTCATACTTTTCTTACATTTAGTGGTCATTTCTAATTATTGCATTTCCTTTAAAAATTAAAAATAAAACTAATTCCAATTCCGTTCTGAAAAGTATTTTAAATATCGTGAATTTCATGAATTAGAATGAAAAAAAATTGTCACAAAATTGAAATTTACAGTTTGGAATCGACGAAAAAATAGAAATTCCTTCTTTTTTTTATTCACCTATAATATATTAAAAATATAATAATATTGATATCAGAAGTGCAATTTTCAAAAATTTGAGGAATTATTTTTGGAAATTGAAAGCGAATAGGAAATCAGAAACTTGGGGTTCATAACGAAAATTATTGTTTTACAAATTGAAAATTTTGGATTCGAACCGACAGAATTCGGAAATTTTGTTCCAATTTCCACCCCTACATTTGGACCAAAGGCTTATGATGATTAAATTTGAAAGAGAAACACATAAGTAAATGAAAAGGCTTATGTCTGATTTTTCCTTTTACTATGTTTCCTGCAGGACCTTCATGAACAGAAGCAGTTCCCCAGATTGGAAACATGTTTTGTTTGCTTGGTGGGAGTCATGTCGGAACTTCAAACTGTATGATGATTATTGAGAGTAGTGTACTAATTAATTCATCATTTTAAATTTATTTTGATGTATTTGTTGTGGATATCTTATGCTACTTGTATATAGTTAATTAATTCCATTAATATTTGGAGTACTTTTGCTTCTTTTTTTTCATTCATTTGATAATGGGTGATACATTTTTATAACAGAATCTCGATAAATTAATAACATTGTTTAAATAATAATTTATTTCGGTCTCGACTTGGTAAAACACGTATTAAATTATTAGTTTGATAAATTAATATTTTACTAAATTTGATAGAAATTTGTTTGCCTCAACTCTATTAATTTATAGAGATTTATCTGATAAAAAAAATTGAATACTATAACCTTTAATACATGGGTTCCACTAGGTGAGCTATAGAAATTCTTAGGTCAATAGATTAAAATAAAAACAAAATAATTTATTACATGTTCTCATGATTCCCAAACTTCAGATTCTATATCAATTTTTGTTTTCTTTATCATAATATTATTTAAAACGTGAAATGTAAAAATAACATACCACCTATCCAAATAATCAAATGATAGAAATTAAGTGTTTTTTTAAGTTAAAAAATGATTATCACACAATGTGAATATACTATTTCCCTAGTATCGGAAATAATACGACCATTCGCTAAAAAAAATTTGGAAAATGTGGTTGGTTTGTAAATATGTCGAATTAAACTTTCCCAAACTTGAGCTTGATTAAAAAAAGATAGCGTAAGAAAAAAACAAAAAAAAAATTAAAAAAAAAAATAACTAGGTCATTGCTTGTCAAATTAAACTCAAACAAGGTTGAACGTTATATTTTCGATTCGTTTACAGATTATGAATATCTCTAAAATAGTTATTCTGACCCTAGACTAGAAACAATCAAACAAACCTAAACTTTTTTATATTAATTAATAAATAGATAAAAGTTGCATAACATATGTTTTAATGTTTTGATTTATTAGATTATGTTATCCATGTGTATACTAGGAGTCTATAAATTGAGTGAAATTGATACCATGCTATTATATTTTTATAATATGATAATTAGATTTCAAATAACTACAATTTATGTTTGTAATATATATATATATATATTTTAAAATAAAATTGACACAATTTTTTTATTTTTAATAAATTGGAAAAAAGAAAAAAGAAAAAAGAAAAAAAGAATAAAGAGTCCTAACTCAACCATGGTTAAGATAACAAAAACCAGTAATATAGGCAGTGAGTGTTTAGGTTCATTCAACCCAATTTTTCTCTCTCCTCCCCGTTTCTCTCTCTATCTCTCTCTTCTCCGATCTCCTCTTGCCACCGCCGCTGTTCGTTTCCGTCAATCAAACGGCGTCGTATACTCCCCATCATCTCCGTCATCTTTGACAGACAATTTAACTCTACACCAAATACTCGCATTCATTCAAATTTGCAACTTCCGTAGATCGATACTTCGTGCAGATCCGTCTCCGGTTGGTCTCCCTATCTATCTCAATATCGCGAGTGAATATATACGTGTTCGTAGTTATTATTCGTTTGGGGAAAGTGCGAAGATCTAATTTTTTATTGAAATTTGAAAAAAAAAAAATTACAAATTCGGATTTTCTAGGGTTTCAAAATATGCGGTGCCGAGGTTTTGATTGGTGTGCCGAATAGGGCTCTCGTATGGGTATCTGTATGTATAGGTGACGAGATATGCGCGCGTGTGTTTATTGTTTCATCTTCTAGGTTGGGGCGGATAACATTCTAGACTCATATGTAGGTTTTTGTACTATTTGTATTATGTTTGGTGTTCCTACATTAGCACGTAACTGACTGCTGCCATGTGAAAGAGCTATCTTTATTCTGTGTACTTTGTGTTTAGTAAAGTTGGAAGTAAAAATAATGTGTGAATGTTGTGCAGTCTGTTAGTGCAACAGTTTTTGTGTGGGTAATGGGTACGGTGTAATTTCCTAAGTGATGGGTTAGGAGTTCGGACTTAAATTATTCAGTTTACGCGGTGTAGTTAATTTTTTTTTTTTTATTATTGCTTTTAGAATTTCATGCATTTTGTTAAAAAAAAAATCTTACTTTTTGCATATTGGATTTTCGATAAATTAATATACATATAAATGGCATGAAATAAGATGATGGAGGGAAAAAAGAACCATCCATATATCTTGATCTTTTGATGTGGCCTCATGTTATTGATCGATTGTCTAATTTTTACATGAGGCAGACTTTTTTTCGTTTTTTCCTATTGCTTTTGACCTTTTTGTCTTATTTTAGATGGGAGTGTTCTCCTGAATCAAACCTTTATCTTTCCTTACATTAGGTCACGTCAAGTTGTTTGGATGACATTGGCACTCCAGTTGGAAAATGAATTCAAATATGCTGGCTGGAGAACGAAGGTACTTAATGATATTCCATATTTTTTCAATGTGAAGCATTACCTGTGAAACATGGTTTTATGATGAAGAGCTCTGTGCCTAGACTCTTAATTTGTTTCTATACACCATATACTTGTATTAATGAATTAGACTTGCGAAGTGCATGCTAACTGTTTAGATAGAGAATGATGAATGTCGCTGATTGTTCTTTTCATGTCATTTTTTCCTGTTGGTCTTCAGGTATCAAGTGTATGTTTGGCCATTTTAACACTTTTGGATCCTTTTTTTTTTTGTATGCTACATATTTTTTTCCAAATATTCCTGTTAAGAATGAACTGTTTTCTTTGAGTTGTTTAGGAAGTGTGACCTTTCTTATAGAGACTCTTCAAAGTGGTGGTCTAACTAAACTTCCTCCGATCTCGCTACTAAGAAGTTCACTTATTAAAATATCCTATAAACATAGGGGAAGAGGTCAGATTTATCCCAATGGAAGCAAGAGTAATAGTTTGTAATGTACAGGAACAGTCATGTTAAGTAAAATCATATGAAAAGAAAAAAGGGGCATATGAAACAATGATTAATACCTTAATACCGATTATTAACTGCAGAAGGTTATTAAGGATTGATAACCTCAAAAGGTTATAGCTGCATTTATCTTCTATACCTTGATTTCCTTCTTTTAATTTCGTAAAAAAACGCCGATTTAAAAACTATGATGATGGAATTTATTGTCCAATGTGATTCAGTTCATGAAGGTACTTCCGAAAATCTCATAAGAAGGTTTTTTGACTCTATGTAATTATGCGTCATACGTTTCTTACATTGTACGGTCACTTGAAATATCCTCCATTTTATCAATATGAGAAGGTTGAATAATATTTTACCATTATTTAACTCCTAGAATCTTCTTAAGCAACTGTCCAGTTATACTTAGGATCGTTTTTTTCCAGTGTCAAATATGTGGGTCTATCTATTTGGTCAGAGAAAATTGTACTTAAATACGAACTTTTCCATGAATTGTTGTCCCTATGGCGCACCTGAAGGAACTTTTACTTTGATTCCATTTTATGTTATATATTATACACATTTTTCTACAATAGACTACGTCTTTATGCAAATATTCTGCATAAATAATTTCTTTAATTATGTGCAATAACATAGTCTTCTAGTAGAAAGGCACTTATTGTCGGATATAATCTGAACAAATAGGTTTAAGTATGCTAATTATGCTCTCTTTTATATATTCACTAATAATTTAACATAGTCTGCCTTTATGGATTATCTTTTCTGAGCAGCTACAATTCTAAATCATGTTATTTGTTTAGCATTTTTCGAGATTATATTCTAGTTCTTCTAGTTCATAAGACCTGGGAGAACATTTTAGTGTCCATTTGTTTCTTTTTCTGCATCAGCATAGCTTATTTTATTGGTGTGACGCACTGTCTTATGTTTACTTACTCCTTTGTAGATGGGCCACTGCAAGAAGGGGTGGCATGACTGTTTTGGGGAAAGTTGCTGTACCAAAGCCCCTAAACCTGCCGAGTCAAAGGTACATGTAATCCTGATTTTCTTTTCTTTCCTTTTCAGTTTTCTTCTACTATTTTTAGCCTTTGTATTTTCTGGGATTGCTTTCTGACAAAGTTTTTGGTTTCATTTCCAGGTTGGAGAACAATGGTTTGGATCCCAGTGTTGAAATTGTTCCAAAGTGAGTGTGGAGTTTTGTTGTCTGCTGCAGCAATTATCCTATTTAATTTTTCCTAAAAATGAAAACTGGTGCAGATTTCTTCAAAACGAGCTCCACTTTTGTCAACAATATTTCTTTGCATCCTCCTTTCAGCACTGTTTTCTAGTTACAGTAATTGAGATTTTTTTCCTTAATAGGGGTACTCTTAGCTGGGGAAGCCGGCCATCTTCCTCTGGTTCAAATCCATGGATTTCTTCATCGCTGTCACCAAAGGCTGATGGTGGTACCGTTTCACCTAGTCATGTCAGTGGCCGTCCTTCATCAGGTGGAAGTGGTACTCGTCCATCAACTGCTGGTAGTGATAGAACACATGAACCTGTTGCCGGTGCTTGGGGTCCAAATTCTAGGCCTTCATCGGCTTCTGGGACATTGTCATCAAATCAAACATCATCGACAGCGCTGCGCCCTAGAAGTGCAGAGAACAGGCCTAACAGCTCGCAGCTTTCACGATTCGCAGAGCCTGGATCCAAAAGTTCAGCAGCATGGGGTCCACATGCAGAAAGATTGGTATGATTGGTACTTTGCTCTTAGCTTCTGACACTAAATACACTTACTGATTGGTAATAAATTTGACTTTCTCACTGTGTCATCCTTAACGGCTATTTTACTGGTTGTAGTGGTTACCATGTCAATGTCATGTGCATTACCAATTTTAGCCTCTTCAGTTACATGTTTATAAGCAATGTGTCTGAATACACACTTCAGTTTATACAAATTGTTGTTTATAGGCTGAATCTGCATGCATTTGCAGGGTGCAAAGTCCTCCAAGGAAGATATGTTCTCACTGAGTTCTGGAGATTTTCCAACTCTCGGTGCTGAGAAAGACCATTCGGTGAAGAATATTGAATTAGAAGGTGATTGTTTGCTCCTAGAATTATTATACTATATTACTTTGTCTTTTGTCCATGTTTGACATTCAGTGTTGCATCTGAATTCCAGTTGTCTTGATGGTTTTCTTTTATGTGCATTTGTATTGCCAATACCTTGTTTCTACCAATCATTTTCCTGTAAAGCAATGCTATTTTTAGAGGCTATGTTATCTCCTGTTTGGTTTAATTGGGTCACTGTATATTGGGCACAATCCTATGTGTATGGGATATCAGCAAAATACAAGTAACTTTAATGATCTCGGTTATGTGAGTGTGTTTTTTTTTTTTTTTTTCCGATTCCCCTTCTTTCTGGTTGCCATTTGTTTTGTTCACATGTAAACACGAAGTTTCTGATTGATCCATTAGTATATTCTGGTACTGACTCTTGGCCAACTTCCTTGACAGATGATGGCCGTCCTAGCTCAGCTTCTGGTAGAATAGCTCTGGAAAAAGAGAACATAAAATACCAGGCTGGTCAGGACACATGTCTTCTAAATTGCCAACAGTAATTTAGTCCCCGTAAAACTATGCTCATGTTTTTACTTCTTTGCATGCAGATGTAATGCATGGAACCGTGAATACATGGAGGGCCGATGGTTCCCAAAATGCAGAGGATGATATCCATCCAAGCATGGAGAAACGACATGGTGATCACCATCAATATTATAATGCCAATGCTGGGCCGCAGCATTTTGACTCGTGGCGTGGTCCTCCTATGAATGGTCCAGCTGGCGGTTGGTATGGGGGGCGTCCTCGTGGCCCACCATTTGGGGGTCCTGTTGCACCTGGTGGTTTTCCAATGGAACCATATCCTTATTACCGCCCTCAGATGCCGCCACCCCCTCTAGCGGGTTCACAGCCAGTTCCACCACAAGGTCCTAGAGGAGGACCCCATCCCAAAAACGGTGATTTGTACCGCCCACAAATGCCAGATGCCTATGCACGACCAGGTATGCCATTTAGACCAGGTTTCTACCCTGGCCCCCCTGGACCCCATGGCCCACCTGGACCAATGGCTTTTGAGGGGTATTATGGACCACCAATGGGCTATTGCAACAATGAACGGGATATTCCTTTTATGGGTGTTGGAGGAGGGCCACCTGTGTATAATGGCTATCCTGCACCTGCACCTGCACCTGCTCCTGATATTAGTAATTCTCATGGCGGCAGAGGTGCTGGGCGTGGTCCTGCTAGCAAAACATTGTCTGAGCATGCGGAAGCTGATCATTTAGAGGATAATACTCAAGGACCAAAAAGAGGTCTTTTGAGGAACCACAATGAGGGCCAGAGAGTGGAAGGAGAAAATCGGGAGCACAACCAGCAACCTAATGTCTTGTTTTCTGGAAAAGGTCGCCTTCCTACGATACCGTACCGAAAGAATGAGTGGGGGGCTGAAGAGGTCACAGAAGAAGCTGTAGTTCCTCAAAGGAGAACACCACCAACCGATAACTTTTCACGCGGTTATGAAAATAGAGCTACAGACAGTGTGAAAGTGAAGTCGTTTGAAGGTGTACGTAATGTGAAAGGAGTGGAAGATAATTTGGCAAATAAATCTGGAATTGTGCAATCTTTCTCTCCAGAATTGCCTCAGATACCCCCTGTCAGTGAGAGAGATACAACACTAAATGCTGCTGCAAAGAAAACAGCACTAATGCAGAAAATTGATGGCTTGAATGCAAAAATCCGTGTTACTGATGGACGAAATGATTCCTCCGGTGCTTATAACAAAGAAGAAGAAAGGAGAGGATCTCAAATAGCTGGTGAAGTTAGTGATGCAACTCGAACTGTAGATAGGACTCTTCTTCCCAGAGATTATGTATCTGTTCCCCAGGAAATGAATGTTCCGATTGCTGATAAGCCAATGCAACAAATGTCTGTCATGTCTAGGTCTGACACAATTTTTTTTGTGACATAAATTTTTTTTCTTCCTATGGGAATGACACATTCTATTTTATATTACAGGAGACCATATAATGGTGAGCAGGGTAGAGATAATCGTGGCAAAGGAAAGTTCAATAGTCAGGATGCCGATGGGTGGCGAAGGAAGCCTACTAATATTGATTCTGCTGCACCTAACATCAATGCACATGGTCCTAATGTTGCAGTGGAGGCTTCTGAGAATTCTATGATCAACCCGGCAGGAAAGATTGAAGGAGATTTAATTGAAACAAATGACTCAATTGATATTCAGGCACAGGTTCATGCTCTACCTTTGTTCTGTTTTTCCATTTTTATAATGTATCTTTTAGTTTCTTTGTGACCTTATCTTTTTGTATTCAAGCAGCGTGCCAAGATGAGAGAGTTGGCTAAACAACGTGCCCTTCAGCTACAAAAGGAAGAGGAAGAAAGGATTAGGGAGCAAAAGGCCAAGGCTTTAGCTAAACTGGAAGAATTAAACCGGCGATCACTCGCAGGTGAAGCTGCAAACAAGAATTCTGAGAAAACTGAAGCCGTCAGTGACATCCGAGTAGAACAAAAAGAACCACAAACAGTTTGTGAACCAGTGAAGGCTGATCTCGAGTTCCAAGAACCTGGTTGGAATATGGATGTTGCTTCTGTAGACACACACGGCAGTGCAAACCAGACTGGAGAATCTGTTCAAGTGTCAAGAAATTTGCCTTTGGAGAAAAAACGTGAAGGTTCATTGGAGTCCAATGTGTCTCCTTTACCTGTGAATGAAGATGCTCGTGCTGACAGTGGTAAAAAAGTGGCAGCTCAATTTCATGACGGAGGCAACTCTAGGCCCAAGCGGACCGGTTATAAGCAAAAACAGAACAATTTGGTACAGAAGAGCTCGAGTGAATTATCTGCCCCCCATGTTGCATCCGAGGCACAGAAAAGTCATACTATTGCAGATATTCCACCACATGATGGCCCATCAGGGGAGATCAAAATAATCGAGTCAAATGTGCCCAACGTGTCTAGTACTGTGGTTGAGCCTTCTGCCCATCAAAGGAAGAAACATAACCGTAATAGTAAGCATAAGCACAAACTGGATGAGACCACTGCAGTTCCTGCTTTACCATCAGTAATATCAGACGTTGATTCTGGCAAGGAGCCTGTAAAAAATGGCGAATCTAAGGATTCTTTGTCGAAATTGGATAGCTCTGTATCAACCGTGGCTGAGCCTGATAGAGGAACACCGTCTCAGGATGTAGGCTCTTCTTTAGCCAATGAAGAATCTCAAACCAAAGGATCCAATCAATGGAAACCTCACCCTTCTCGCCGATTGCCGAGAAATCAACATGCTAATAGATTTACCGACAAGCACCATGGCAGTGATACTGTTGTTTGGGCTCCTGTGCGTTCAGATAACAAGGCTAAGGGTTCTGTTGACTCAAGTCAGAAATCTACACAGGAATCTGATTATTTGGTGAAGGGTGATAGTGCGGCGGCAGAGAATAGTTCGAAAGGCAAGAGGGCTGAAATGGAGAGATATGTTCCGAAGCCTGTAGCGAAGGAGCTGGCTCAGCAAGGAAATATTCAACCTTTGACTTCTTCAATTAGCTCTTCTAGACCAAACGAGGCTGCTGAGAGGGAACAACCTGTAATCTCCATGGCTGCACATGTTGGATCTACGGTAGAGATTAACGAGGGTGATGTGAGCCATAACAAGCATAAAAAAGAGCTGGGGACTTGGAAACAACGGGGTAGTTCGACAGATTCATCTCATGTGAAGGGTGGTGCACATGTTGAGCCGTCTCTTAAATCGGAGCTAACCAAGGATGTTAAACAATCTAAAGATTCTGTTCATTTGGTCAAACCTGAAACTGATGATGGCCATAATATGCCCAAAAATACGAGCAAATATCCTTCGGTTAAGGATCAGGGAGCAATAAACAGAGGAAAGAGACATCCCTCTCGGGGGGGCCATAGGGGCGCTGGAAATAATCCCGATGCTGAGAATACTTCTAGTGGTGAAATTGATGGAAGTAATATTCAATCTGCAGGACCTGACAAAATTCAGACAGACAGAACTTTTATCTCAAAAGAGAATCGTAACTTTGTCGGGGAGCGGTCATCATCTCACTGGCAACCAAAGTCGAACTCGAGCAACGCAAATAACAATCAGCATGTGAACAGAAACGCTGGAACTGAATCTGTGACCACAGAAACCAACAGGTTCCCAAAGAAGGACCACCCTCAGCATAAGGCGCACGTCAGTCAAACTCAGCCAGGTCATCATTATGCCAATGTCAAGAGTAATGTGACTGAGGAGTCGACTTTAGGCAATCAACAAGAATTCAACAACAGAGAAAAGAAGCCCGCTCCAGCGAAAAGTCGTCCCTATTCTCCAAACCAAGATCCAGTTGGCTCTGGCGATTCACCTCCTAATTTCAACACAGATGATCAACAGCTTGATAGGAATATGCCATCGGGATCTACGCGAAATAATGTGAGGCCACAGAATCGTTCTGTCAGAGGGGGCCATGACCCCCGTGGAGATTGGTCTTCTTCAGGGTACGATAACAGACCGCACAATGCGCCTACATTTCGGGATAATAGGCAGAGGCAGAACATGCACTATGAGTACCATCCAGTGGGTCCCGTCAAGGGCAACAACAAAACCGAAAAAGTTGAGGAAGCAGCTGATGGAGTTGAAGGTATGGAGCAAAGACACAGGGAAAGAGGTCAGAGTCAGAGTCAACCCAAACGCGGAGGAAATTTTTACAGGCGACAAACTGGGCCCGCTCATGTGGACTCAAGTCGGAACTGATTGACAAGTGAGATTTGAGTAAAATTTCCCGTCTTCTATTTCTTGATTAGCCAATATAAAAATCCCAGCTTAGATATGGGCCTCTTCTATTTTGAGTTCACAGAGAAAACTTAGTATATCTGTTTGACTGGTGGTGACACGTGGTTAGGGCACACCATTGAGTGATGTGATGTGTTAGATCGATGAAATTATGGGGATGCAGTAACCTATTTTTACAATTGTAAAATTGATTTCGATAACGCGGTGACGTGGTTTGCAAGTAACCTTAACAATGTGTAGCTCAGTTTCGTGTATTGGGTAGTCGATTCGTGCCTCGTGTGTAACTGGCCGAAGAACAAAGTAGAAAAGGGAAGATTTGTAGTGTCTATTCTATAATCTATGTTTTGTTGGAACGGTGTCATCCTTCGTGCCTTGTTTCTTTTTCGTCCACTCTGTCGGAATTGCTACTACTGTTATTGATTATATTCGCCTTGCAGGTGCGATTTGAATGCATTTTTGCTTTGTGATTTTTACTTCATTTTTTTCTCATGAAAATTTTGTGGAGAAGTTTTTTTTTTTTTTTTTTTTTTATTTTTTTATTATGGTGAATTACGGCAAGCACGGCTCAAATAAAAAAAATCCCTCTTGTTTCTGTAATTATAATTTACAATCACTCCTCAACTATGAATCATTTTACAAGTCAACTATTATGGTTTTAAATTTAACAGAATCTTGTAGATTCCATGGAATATTCTCTAATTTGTATATGTTTGTGTAAAAAAAATATAGTTTCTGATGCACCACAATCTGATATTTACAAGTTAAAAGGTACGTCCTGGAGCTCGAATGGGGTAAAACAGGTACAAACTGGAGAATATTCCACATAGTATAGAAGATTTTACTAGATTTGACACCGCAAGAATGAACGTGTAAGTAGATTCATAGTTGAGAGGGTGATCGTAATTACCTTACATGTGTAAGTAGATTCATAGTTGAGAGGGTGATTGTAATTACCTTACATATGGGTAACCGTGGTTACCCTCTAAATTATTATTTTCAATTTAGCTCACTGTGAATAATGTAGTATCTCTATAGCACCATCAACTCAAAATTAAACACTTTATATATAAATAAAAAATAAAAAATAAAAAATGGATCTTAATTTCTTTCACAATAAAAATAAATAAATAAATAATAAAAAGAAGCCGTAGAACCGACCCACACCACTAAAACAATAAACAAATCATTTTTCATGTGGTAAAATTTCATAAGATAAAGCCCTAATTTCACAAATTTTATCCTTTCCCCCCTCTCTTTCCCCCTATCCGAATCTCATCTTTTTTCTGCAAATTCTCTCTCAACATAAAAAAAATTAAAATAAAAGAAATAAAAAACTCCAAACAACTCAGAAATTCTAGTATTCAGCACCAATCGTCTCGCCGCCTCAACAGTTTCATCGTATTGTTGCTCTCTTCTTCTCTTGCTCTATCTATTTAGGTATATACTTTCTACTCAAATTTATTTTTATATGGATATTTTCTGCTCATTTGTTTTGTTTATGGGTTTTTGGATGTTGTAGAGATTTTCTTTTTTTTTTTTTGAATTTGGGGGAAAGTTGAAAAAGCAATTTTCAGGCTTGGATGTCAAATGATGATTCATGCGATTTTTTTTTTTTTTTTTTTTTAATTATTGCTTCTCTTATTCCATTTCTGCAATTTTGGTTGTTTTTGTAATTTTCTTCCTTTCTGAAACTTAATTTTTTATTTTAAATGTATGGTCTCGAGATTGTGTTTGAAAGAGAAAGGGAAAACAGAGTTGTGGTATTTCGATTTTTATGCTTTCAATTCAGAAATATCTCGATTCGATAACTTTTCACCCGGCAATTAAAGATGAAATTTTTATTTCCAGGGTTTTTGGATTTCTTTAAGCAAATATGAACTCATGTTGAGATGTTAGTGATCCTATCGTGTAGAAGATGGCATCGGCAACCCATCAGTTGAAGGTAATAAATAATAGCTGCTTATATTTTATTACGTAAACGCCAAACGTATCGACCTTTTGTATTTTCGGTCCAATAGCATGTAAATTTGTATTGAGTTGGGTAATTAATGTGTGTGCAAGTGATCGAAGATGCATTATTAGGTAGAAACAAGTTTTCTGTTTTTTTCTTATTTGACCTTGTTGAAGTAATCTACCAAAAAAAAAGGAACTTAGTCGTTGATAATTTTTACAATCGTCTAAACCATTTCAAAACTAGTATTTAACTACAATTGTGAAGTGAAGTTTCTACTTACGTTCCATGGTATATACTACTTTGAATGGAATATTTATATAACTATTTAGTCATTTTCTACGTCCAGATTTACTTGAATTTTATTCGGCGGATTCTGATTCTGTTTCAGAATTGAAGCATGCAGCATTTAGTTATTTTCAATTTTTTTTCTGCCCGATTAAATACAAAAATTATTTCTGTCGACTTTATTCAGGGTTCTTGTAGCACTTTCCCGTCAGTCCCTTCATCGTGGAGCAGAGGAAGCAAGTTAAAACATTTTGCACCAACATTCCATTCAGTAGGGAGGAAAGATAGATTTATCTCTTTGAAATGCAGATCTTGTTCGAGGTGAGAGCTTTTTTGCACTTAGAACTTTAAAATTATGTTTCCAAAATATATATTCATTGAAAATTTCATGTGCAATTTAATTTATATGGGCGATTAGGAGGACCTATGTTGATTGTTTGCTTAAGCTCTGTCTTTATGAAATAGGATGGCATCTTTTTTACGCTTAATCTCTCAAATTATCGTTTGTAATTTTCCCTTCATGATGAAATTAAAACTGATCGGATGTCTTGATTCCAGTGTAGGAGCTTCTCGTGTTCTTGGATCAAAGTCGAATTCATTCAAAATATCTGCTTTCAAAGGAAGCAACTCATATAATGATTCTGGCATCAGAACTAATAGCTCGAAGGATAATGGAAAAGTTGGTTATTTGGAAAATACGATCGAAGCTTCCTCGTTGGAATCTTCGAAGGTACAGAATGTTACTCCAAGCACAGCAGCAGATGAAACAATATCCAGGTCCCTCGCTATACAGAATTTATTTAAAAGCTGGTTGATGTTACTGCGTACGCCGTTACAAGCCCAACACGTGGACGAAGTTCTTGAAGAACCTTCTTCTGTGGAAACATCCGAAATTCCGAACTCCTTAAAAAAGCAGGGCAGAAGTGAAATTCTGAAGGCGGTTTGGTGCTATTTTGTCAGTTTGAATGCAACGATTATGATACCCTTGTTACTATTGTAAGTATGATGGTTCGTTACGATAGCACTAAGTTACGGTATCATTTAATTTGTTAATGACCGTTCTGCTTTTTATTTGCAGCACTCCTCTGTACCTTGCAGTTTACGTTGCGTACGGGTCGAAAGTATCGAAAGAATTGACCCCCCTATGGATTCTTGGACCGTTATTTGCTGCTCTCTACGTAAAGATGTTTCGAGCAATATGTAAAGTCTATGGGTTCAGCTTCAAACAAACGGCCAAATTAGTCAAGAACTTGCCCGTATACTACCTTGTGGTACACGATCACATTGTAAATGGGAAGCTAAACGAAGCCACGAGAAGGCATATATTCGAACCTCTGGCAGTTATAAAAAACACGGACTACAAGGAATTGACTAAGAACAGAATGAAGGATTTGCAGGGGTGGTTCGTTGAGAGATATCTCGATTTTGTTGAATCGATTTGGCCTTATTACTGCAGAACAATCAGATTTCTGAAAAGGGCTAATCTGATATAGGGTCCACTCGTTTCGTTCAAGATATCTGGTAAAAAAGAAAAGCACAAGTTGTTTATTTTTGTGTTTTTTGATTAGTCAGTTCGTTATGGGTGAAATATCCACAGGCAATAGAGGAACCCCTTTTTGCACTGGGGTTTATTTTTCGAGCGTTTCTTGTTCTTGTAGGTGCATCGAAATAGAAGGTTAGCGATTGTATTGTTTTGTAAGCATAACTATATATATATATGCACTTGTAAAACTGAGATGTTAAATCAATTTGAATTGAAATGGGGCTAGTGAGTTCATTTGTTTCATAGTTTGTAGGGCAGGTGAACTATTTACTACACAATTTGGCAGTTAGCTCAACAACAATGTTGATTAATATGATGAATCCTATGCCTCCTTTGGTTCCGTGATTAGTCGTGATAAACTAAATAATTGAAGTTTATCTGATGTTTGGTATCTTTCATAACTTGTCGGGTCGACTCGTCAAAATTATGTTATTATGGCTTATCTTGCCTTTTAGAGAGTTTTTTTGGTTGAACATCCCGATGTCCGATAATATAATTGAGTTTTTATTAGATTATTTAATTTTATCTTAGATAATTTTATCTTGTCAACCAAACGAGGTCAAAGTTTACCGTATATTAGGTATTTTAAAATAGGCATTTAAAAATAAATCCAGCTTTTAAAAGATGTTAGTAGCTGAAAATGTAATTAATGTGGATGAAAGAGTGGGTGTATGTTGATTATTTTTCCTATTAAAAAAATGATTATTTTTATTTGACATTATGTTATGTTATTCTTTGAAATTGATCTTATAAAGATACGGATCAGAATATAAAGTATACTACGCTAATCATATGTGCACGCGTTAAATCATTTGTGAATATAGAAATATTGGCAAAATGAGTTCAAACTCGGGTCAGTTAACACCGTAACTTTATTAGACTAATTAAGTCAAGATTGTGGATAAGTAAAACCACATAAATAAGAATACACAATTACAAAATTTTGTTTTAATTAAATATTGAAACTTTTAAACATATAATTATCAAATACAAAATAATCATTTTACGAATTTTACCTAAATTTTCTTAAAGGTTTTTTTCAATTTTTTTTTTTTCATAATTTTGTAAATTATAATTGCTTATTGAACAGTCTTCTATGGTCGGTCCGTGACCCCTGGACGCCGAAGGCGCCCTTGGGGTGATCTCGTAGTTCCTACGGGGTGGAGATGATGGGGTCGGTCCATGAATTTTCCTTCCTTTTCTTTTACCGCATTTCGCTCAAAAGGTTGAAGGGAGATAGTGCATCAAGCTGTTTGCAAGGGCCAACTTGATCCTCTTCCCCAGGGATCTCAGAGGAGGGACCTTGGGAGAGCCGCTGACTCCAACTACCGTCCATGTATGATCCATACTAGATCTGACCAACTACTCATCCTATAATTATAGCTTGATATTTCTTTATATATTTTTTGAAAGGGTAAATAGCACTTAACCCGACATGTGTTTACAAGCTTTTGCAGATGATTTTATTGTGCTTGTAATATCAGCATATAATCCACTTGTGGTTTATGGGTAGCTTCCATTAGTTTTTCCGTCAAATTTAACTGCACGTGTCAAACTTCAAGGTGATCATCTGCAAAGAAAAAAAAACAAAAAAAAACTTTGACGTCTGAGACTCACGGTTAAATTTGACGAAAAAACTAACAAAAGCTACCCCATAAACCGCAAATGGGATTATGTGCTGATATTACAATCACAAAAAACTTGTAAATACAAGTCGGGTTAAGTGCTATTTACCATTTTTTAAATTACATTTATCAAGTGTTATTTGTAATATATTTTCTATTATGAATTTATTGTTAAAAAAATTGTGACACCAAAAAATAAAAAATAAAAAATAAAAAATAAAAAATAAAAATAAAAATTAGAAACATGGGGAAAAAGTTGAACCAAAAAGCACAAATGGCACACACACACTCTTGACGGTTATTTCCACACACACAAACACACTCTTGTATACTCCGCCCCCATCCATCATAAAAATTTCTTGTTTCTTTCTCCCATCGATTCATTCATTCATTCATTCATCCGCCCTCTTCCCCCCTCTCAATCTCTATTTATCTTCTGCCTTTTTTCTCCCTCTCTCTCTCGATCTACCCTAGATTCGGTGATTTTCCGGCGATAATTCTACACCCATTTGCTTATTTCCCATTGCTACGCCAAAATGGCTTGTTCGGCGACGCCCAAAATCGTCCATGGCCCTCTGCCCACGAACTCGCTCAGATCTGCCGAAAAGTCTGATTCTTCCTGCAAATTCATGGGCCCCTCCTCGTTTTTCGGTTCCAAATCTCTCAATAAGAAGCTTTTTTCTGTTAACAAGGCTGTTTCCTCCGTCGGCCACCGATCCGCCGCCGTCGTTGCTGTCTCATCGGATGTCGTCAAGGAGAAGAAGCTCAAGTCCAGCTCTTCTCTCTCCAATCTGGTACCATTTTTTTTTTTTAAATTTCCAATTTTTATTTCGTTTTGCACCGCTATGGTAGATTAGCTTTGGTATGCTTCTGATAGCTAGTTGATTTGCTTTTTATTAATTTTCATTGCATGTGCTTGTGATCTCCTATTTAGAGTCTGCAAATTAGTGTGTGTCTGTGTGTGTTTTCTCTTATTGTTTGCTATTGTTTTCTAAATTCAGCTGATTATGATTCAATTACTGCATTATATCTAAATATAAATTAATTTAAAAAAAAAAACGTTTTTTGTTGTCCAAATGATTTCTTTGTATTATTTTCTCTTTGCATGTGCTTCTGATCTCCTAGTTACAGTCTGCAAATTAGTCTCCCTTTTTTTCCACCTTATTTGCAATTGTTTTCTATCTTCACCTGATTATGAACTATGATTCAATTGCTGCATTATATGTGAAGTAAAATTAGATGGGTTCTAAAGGGTTCAATTACTGCTCGAGTGACACTGCGGTGCATAGGGTAGTATTTAAGGGTTCGGTTGTAGACCATTTATAAAGGCCATTTAATAAAAAACGAAATGATGGGTTCTAAATTGGGTGTCTTTGCATGCAGTTGATAACGAGAGAAGAGGGACTGGTACTGTACGAGGACATGATCTTGGGCAGGGCATTCGAGGACATGTGCGCCCAAATGTACTACCGAGGCAAAATGTTCGGATTCGTCCATCTCTACAATGGCCAAGAAGCCGTCTCCACGGGATTCATAAAGCTCCTCAAGAAAGAAGACTGCGTGGTCAGCACATACCGTGACCACGTCCACGCACTCAGCAAAGGCGTACCCGCCCGCCAGGTCATGAGCGAGCTCTTCGGCAAAACCACAGGCTGCTGCAGAGGCCAAGGTGGGTCCATGCACATGTTCTCCAAAGAGCACAACGTCTTGGGTGGGTTCGCTTTCATAGGCGAAGGAATCCCAGTTGCAACTGGAGCAGCCTTTACGAGCAAGTACAAGAGGGAGGTCTTTAAAGAGGATTGTGATGAGGTGACTTTGGCGTTTTTCGGAGATGGGACTTGTAATAACGGGCAGTTCTTCGAGTGCTTGAACATGGCTGCGCTTTGGAAGCTTCCGATTGTGTTTGTTGTGGAGAATAACTTGTGGGCAATTGGGATGTCGCATCTGAGGTCCACGTCGGATCCGGAGATTTGGAAGAAGGGTCCCGCGTTTGGGATGCCGGGTGTGCATGTTGACGGTATGGATGTGTTGAAGGTGAGGGAGGTGGCGAAGGAGGCGGTTGGTAGGGCTAGGAGAGGCGAGGGCCCCACTCTGGTTGAGTGCGAGACTTATAGGTTCAGAGGGCACTCTTTGGCTGACCCTGATGAGCTTCGTGACCCTGGTTAGCAATTCTTTTACCTTTTTTTTCAAACTCGTTAATATGGTTTTTGTTTTGGAAGTTTCGGAGAAGTATAGAGTTGTTCTTGATATTTATTGTGTACTTTCCTCTTACCCGCAGTTAGAGATATACGCATAACACATGATTGTTCCATAAATATTAGGAAATAATTTTGCTAATCTTTGATGAATTGAGTAGTCTGGGATATCCCGTCTTGTTGTTCTGATATGTTATAGGAAATCAATGCATTTTACGTTATGTATATCTGCAGCGTTCATCTAATCTATGGAGAAATCATAGATAAATTATGTGCACTTGATACGGAATTAGGTATAGTCTGCTTATTCTTGAAATGTGCAGTTTGTGTAAGTTGCCTATAGCTGATAACCCAAAGATGATTTAATAAACGAGTTTCTTGCATTTAGTACCCCCTGTGTTACATTGAATTGCTAAATGAAATCTTTGTGTTATTAATATTTTAGCAAAACCCCCCTATGATGCATTTTTATAAGCACACAAACCCCTAAATGGTAAGTTTTTAGGGGGTAGTTTGCTAGAAAAATTGAATAGTAGGGGGTGTTTGCTAATATTTATAACGCGAGGAGTTCTTAAGCAATTAGAGTAAACGCCAGGTATTGTTGATTGCAATAAAACCCTTTAATAAAAGCCACTGTCTTTATATGCTTCTTATTAAACATCAAGAATCACTATAGGCATCATAAACTTGGGAATTTCCGTAATGTTGGGTACAGTAATTCATAGAGTTTACGATATAACTACTACTTTTTTTTTTTTAAATTTGAATTTTGGCAGCTGAGAAGGCTCATTACGCGACGAGAGATCCAATCGCTGCACTAAAGAAATACATATTGGAAAACAATTTGGCAAGTGAAGCAGATTTAAAGGCCATAGAGAAGAAGATAGATGAGGAACTCGAAGAAGCTGTTGAGTTTGCAGAGGAAAGTCCAGTGCCAGCTCGTAGTCAATTGCTCGAGAATGTATTTGCTGATCCAAAGGGATTTGGTATCGGCCCAGATGGGAGGTACAGATGTGAGGACCCTAAATTTACTGAAGGTACTGCTCAGGTCTAAGCTCGATTTACCCGCCACCTGGACAAGGATAGTTTCCTTTTTTTTTTTTCTTTTTTTTTTTTTCAGTTAAAGATGTGTGTCTGCTGTCATTTTGATGTTTTAGTTTTTATTCTTGAATTGTCTTTCTTTTTTTTTTTCTTTTTTAATTATTATTGTTGTTCGTCTTTGTTGAGGTACTCTTTGTTGAGGTACTGTTGATGTAGCAATCTTGATTGGTTGTTGCTTGTATGTTTCGTATTAGAATGTACTTCTCTTTCAGCAATGCGTTTGTTTTCGTTTAGGCTCTGTTTGGTTCAAGGAAAATAGTCAGTAAAAATGTTAAAATACTAGGTAATTGATTTTTATATTTGGTAGCAAGGTAAAATGTTAGGTAAAATTATTTTGAGGAAAATTGGGAATTTTTTATTTATTTTTTACTGAAACAGGGAATATGAGTTTTCTCCCCCCGACAAAACTAAGTAAGTGGTCTTTTTTGAGAAATAATTATAATGTCACGGTGTGCATCTTCAATATCAAATATGCATCTTCATCATCGTACGCACGTTACAGACACATACAATCTTTTACGTGGGACTAGGTATTGAAGTACTAATGAATCTGGATCTGTGGCACCACACTTTTCTGCTACTATATGTATAAGCTCTTTCATAGTCTCATTATCTTGATTGAAATGAAAAAGAGCTGATGATTTTAATGGCGACAACATCCTAGCACTTCAACCAAGTGTTGTTGACTATAACCATATACGTCTATTTTTTCAAACGTGGGCAAATAGCTAAAATAGTAGCAATGTAGATGGTCAGAGCTACGGTGGTGCAAAAAAGGGCATATGTTGAAGATGACGATTGTCTTTTGCTCCGTAATTTTGAAAAGATTAGGTCATGTTTGAGAACTATTATTATAATATACAATGAGGAGGAATAAGGGGTGTTTGGTTATATGTACAAATAGAATGGAGAAGAATAAAAGAAAATACAAAATCATCTAATGTATGGCATTCCAGACATTTTGGGTGGGTTGTGGGCTATTTATATGGAAACTTAAAAGGGTAAAATGCAGTATCCAAATGTTTCGTTGGTTGCCAAAATTAGCCAAAATAAGATTAAGTAATCTACTGAAAACCTTATTTTATTAGACTGCGCGACTTCCAAAAAAGAAAACAAGATACGTCAGGATAATACAATATTTGCGTATCGACCCGGTAAGTTGGAACACCAAACATCAAATAACGTCCAATTATTTAATTAATAATATGCTATGTAGCACAGACACGGAAACGTGGACACGGGGAACTCCGTTTTACAAAGAGTTGGATACGAGAACGTGGGGAATCACATAACTAATACAAATATAGGGGTGCATTCATAATTTCTAATGTTGGGGTGCATTTATAATGTTTAGTATCATTCTACAAATTACATTTATGGCATATACCTTTATTTTAGTATATAATGAACATTTACAAAAATATTAAAACACCACTAAAAGTGAAAAGAAGACATAATATTTAAGATTTTTTTAAGCGTATGCAATTCAGAGTTTTTATTTAAAATGAAATCTGGATTTATTTTGTGTGAAAATGCGTTTCCAATTTTTCATTATTATCATAAACGTCTACGAAACTTTTAAAAGACTTATAGAAACGGTTCCGAAACGGTTTACGACAGGTGTCTTGAAAATTTGAATTTCCAAAACGTAAAAACGCCTGCAGATTGAAGTTTCGGTGCATCATAAATAAAAATTAATTTCCCCAACTAAACGAGACCAAATTACAGTACGTAACGACTATATACATCCCAATTTTGATCTAAATATATATTTGGGAAAAAAGAAACGGAAATTAGATATCGAATTAAAAAATCTTTGTTTCAAAATCGAATTTCTTTTTAATTCTTTTAATTGAAGTAGAAATTTGAAAACTTTCTTCCATTTCATGCCCTTAGGAACAGTCGAAAGAAAATTAAAAGGAAAAAAACAAACACATTCGAGAAAGAACAAAGCAGCCGCTTTCTCTGCCTAAAATCTGTTTATCTGCGCCTTAGATTCTCCGAACTGAATTCAGCGATTTATTTGCTAATATTCATCAAAAATCAAAAGGGTTGTTCTTGAAATCGTGAAAAAAGGATCCATCTTTCTTTCTTTCTTTCTTTCTCACTCTTCAGCAGTAGCAGTAGCAGTAGCAGTTCAAAAATGGCAGCGAAAATGAGAATTGGTCCTTCATTTTCATGTCTCTCTACGAGTTCTTCACCTTGTCAGAGGAAGGAATTACTCAAGGTATGCACTCTGCTTCTTTTTTAATTGTTTTAAGCAAGTAATTACATGATGATTATTAATAAAGAGATTTGTTTTTTGTAATTGTTTTGATAGCAGTAAAATCATGTGGGTTTGGCCTTAGATTATCAATTTTGATGTTGAATTTTTTTTTTTCTTCTATTACATAGTTCAGTGTCAGAAAGATTTAAGGACGAAAATGTAATAAATATGATGTGAAGAATCTCACACAGTGAAGTGAAGTGAAGTGGTTTCTTCCAAATTTAGATGGTCTATGTTGAACTGTTAGTTATCCATTAGGAAATACTGTATTGTTTTATAGGGTAAATTACTGTCGCTCACTGAGATAAGGGAAAATTACGAAAAAAACCTTTCGTGTTTGGGTAATCACAATCACCCCTCAACTATAAATCTTCTTACAAGTCGAACCTTGTGGTGTCAAATTTATTGGAATCTTCTAGATTATGTGGAATATTCTCCAGTTTTTACCCGTTTTACTGCATTCGAGCTCCACATTTTGAAACAAGATGATCATTAGATGTGTCTCTTGGCTTGAAAATATCAAATTCAGATGCATTAAAAATTGCATTTTTGCATAAAACGAGTACAAACTAGATAACATTCTACGGAATTTAAAAAATTCTGTTGAATTTGACATCATAAGGGTGGACGGGTAAGAAGATTGACAGTTGAGGGTGGTGTTTGTAATTGCCCAAACATGAGGAGTTTTTTCGTAATTTGACCTTACCTCAGGGGTGGTCGTAATTTACCCTAACACTATATTAACTTGTCATGTTTCTTGCAAAGAAGTCCCTTTAACTTGTCAACTAAGCACCACATATGGCTAAATGAAACGGTTTTACGAGGTATAACAGAAACAAGAATGCGCATAAGCCAATGTCCGAGTATTTTGGTGTCGAGATCTCATAGCGGAAGATAGTATTAATTTACTTCATCGAAATCTCTAGCTTAACTTGATGTTTGTGAACTGTTCGTTTCGTCAGTTCTTTTTTATGTGATGGAATATCTTAAATAAAATATTTGTTCTAATAATACATTGTACTGATTTTCAGTTGAACTCAAGGCTGGGACTGTTTGAAGGTGTCGAACATTCGAGAAATCTTAAAGGTAGCTAATAATTTGTTAAATTTCCTACACAATAAATTCATATAAGACGTTTTAGTGTTACGGTTACCTTCATTATATCTAATTCGCTAACCTTTATCTCTCAATACATTTTTTTTCCGATTACAAACACTTTGTAGACCATTTTGATTCTGACTGTCCTCGTTTTTCATGTTAGTTAGTACGTCGTGCCAGTTCACACATAGAAAGCTAACAGAAACATTAGCAAAGAGGCGATGCATTCTCTTTGCCACTTCCGAAAATCAAGAATCACACAGCGAAATTGACCTCGACAATTTCGAGCAGGGGCAGCAGCCTCCATCTGCTGAAGACACCACTTCCACCGATACCTCACACCGTCACACTACTGAAAGAGCCGACGGAAAATCGGGATTTATTTCGTTTTATGGACCTACCAACCGAGGCGAAGATCAAATTCTCGTTTCGACCCCTGAGAAAAATAGAAATTACCTATTGTGGTTTGCTGGTCCTACTGTGCTCGTTGCATCTTTCATATTTCCGTCGCTTTATTTGAGAAGGATACTTTCGACTATATTCGAGGATTCTTTATTAACCGGTAAGAACTTTTTCTCTCTGAGTTACTGAATACATCTTCAGCACTTATTCTTTCTTTTTTTTTGCGTGAATTAAAAACCTAAATATGACTGGTTAAATAATATCTCTCAGGCCTCGTTTGGGATAGTGGATTATGCATGATTTGTTGTTTAATCCTATAGTGTCAAGTGTTTGAAAAGGACGATTTCGATCCAAGATTAAAGTTATGCCCCGTTATTTATCATGCAAATGGAGGACTACTAGTCACTCAATCCCCTATTATTATACTATCCAAGTTTTATTGTGGAAACCAACAAAAGATATTTACTTCTTTACCCCTCAAATCGGACAAAAATAACCTATTAAATTGGGGGTACTTTAGACATTTTATCAGCTATCCTAGTTAATCCATATCCCGAAACACTTGATTATAGATAATTATAAATTCCAAACATGCAACAATCTCACATTACATTATGTATTATGAATAGTGTTATCCTACTAAATTTAATCAATCATATCAATCCGATCAAAATCCGCAAACGAGACTTTAGAATATTTTACAAGTGCTTCAATTGAATCGATTTGTAATAAAGTCCACTTTACCCGATATTAGATTGTCTATTATCTTTCCGTCAAAAAACGCATTTTAGATAAGGCTTCCAATTTCTTTCTTAATTTTTTTTTATTTAATCGATATTCTTTGTTGCAGACTTTCTAATATTGTTCTTCACGGAAGCCCTTTTCTACTGCGGGGTAGCTGTTTTTATCCTTCTGATGGGCCATCTTCGAAAATCTACAAAAAAGCCATCAAAAACTCGAAAAATCGAAACTCATTATGGAGAGAGGATAGCTTCTGTTGCTGTTTTGGTACTTAGTCTTATAATACCTATGGTGACGATGGGGTTCGTCTGGCCTTGGACGGGCCCCGCAGCTTCTGCTACTTTGGCTCCTTACCTTGTTGGAATTGTCGTCCAATATGCGTTCGAGCAATATGCAAAACGTATTAGCTCTCCATCGGGTCCCGCCATTCCGATAATCTTCCAAGTAAGTTTTAATTCGCCTACTTTGTTCAGCCAAATTTTCACGTATTTTGACATGCATGCGTAATAATAATATGCTATTTCTTTAGTTGTTTCTATAACATATTTTCAGCTTTTTTTTTTGTACTCGTAGTTTGTTTTTTAGTGTTTTGCGAAAAATATGTTTTGCTTTTGCTTCTTTTAAAATAAGTTTTTTTTTTAAAGTTCATTATCCTGAAAGCATCTATGCAACGGCTTCCTTAGGCTTACAGTTACATTAGACATTTGTTCACTCTGGTGGTGTTTGCAAAAGCTTCTAGAAAAGCAGAAGTTGGCGATTATGAGTTAGGTGGTGTTTGCAAAAGCTTTTACAAATAGATTAGGAGCTTTTTTTAGCTCATAATCTAGTTTTAAGTGTTTGCAAAATGAACTTTTGCTTTTGCTTCTCTTAAAATAAGTAATTTAAGCTATAATTTGTTAAGCACCCATGACCTTGCTTTTTCAATTTAAGTTAATTTGCAAACACCCCCAACTTTTAGAAATAAGCACTTAAAACCAACTTAATTTCGCAATCCATAACTGCTTTTAAATAATCTTTTGCAAACACCACCTTAAGTTAATGACAAGTGCTTGATTCTAAAAGTTGAGTGTTGTTTGCAACTCCATGAAAAAATCGATTTTAAGCAACTTATTTTAAGAGAAATTGGTCCATGGGTGCTTTTTTATATTTTACCTTAAAACAACTTATCAAAGAGATGCAATTTTTTTTTTTTGGTTTTTTTTCTCGAGTCCAAGTAGAAGCAAAAGTTGATATTGCAAAAACTTCAAAAGTGATTATGAGCCCCAATAAGCTCAGAACCACTTTTCAATAGCTTTTCCAAACACCACCTTTTGTTATTCTTGTATAAATCGAGTTTTTTTCAACAGTTAATAAATCGTCTATTTAATCCAAGTTTTTAGAACATTTGCAAATATTCAATTTTTTATAGAAATAAGCGATTATTCCAAGTTTTACTCACAAAATATCATCAAGGATATTTCTTGAAACTTGCCTGCTACATTTAAAGTCAATATTTTTTTATAACTAATGCAATTTCCCTTTTTTTTTTTTTTTTTTTTTTTTTTTCCGGAAAAACGAAGGTTTATAGGTTGCACCAGCTGAATAGGGCAGCGCAATTGGTGACAGCCCTGTCATTCACTGTTAGAGGAGCGGAGATGACATCACACAACCTCGCTATAAACGGTTCGCTAAACACACTTCTCAACGTTCTTCAGTTTCTCGGCATCATTTGTATTTGGTCTCTCTCGAGTTTCGTCATGCGGTTTTTTCTATCCGAGCAGTAATTTCTTTCTACAAGTTTCTTCCCGTGTTGATGTTTCGGATCATGCCATAATTTTTGGTTATATATATATATATATATATATATATATATATATATATATATATATATATATCCATGCAAACTTAGTTGGTGACTATCTTGTATGATGTGCTACTAATCTGTAAGTAAATCAACAAATGTATGACGATAGTCAATCTGTAGGGAGTTAGATGTTACATCTGGTTATTTAGATCGGGTGGTGATTTGAACTGTTTATTTGATTAAATAACTACACACTAAGCACACATACACATGGGTGTGTGTGGTTATGTGTAAATCTACCATTTAAATTCATCAAGTATAAAAATTAGGTGTAGTATAAAGGTAACTATGTCTAATTTTTTTTATTAACATATGATTTTTTTTTTTGGAAAAAAAGGCAATCTTAAAATTAAAATAAGAAGATTTTTTACTCCTTTTATTTATTTATTTATATTTATTTCAATTACTCTAAAATTGATGAGGGAATTTGAATGACAATTAAAGTGCAATTAATTATCCAAACAAAAAAAAAAGTAGAAGGAATCTTATTTATAAAATAAAGAAAAAGTAGAAGGAATCTTATTTATAAAATAAAGAAAATAGGGTTTAATTATATAAAGTAATAAGAATGGTATAATTGGCAAAAAAATATAACTGAGAGGGTAATTGTAGATCTTAATAATAATATTATAATAGTATAAATGTGACAAATAGTAAATAATTAAAACTTAAAATCGAAAATAAAAATAGGATCCGAATTATAAAATCTTTTTGACCCATAATCCGGTCAAGTAACGATAATCAAATAAACCGGGTCGGTGGGTCAAGATTAAATGGGCCAGGCCCAGTACAATAAAATCCTTTAATACAAATACAACAAGATAGAATTAGGGTTTCCTCGTGCAACGCAAGTTCTCTGTTACTCTACCTCAGTTCATCGACGCCAATCCAATCAGGTTCGTCTCTGTTTATATATAATATATATATATATATATATGTATGTATGTATAGGTGTATGCATATATCTATTCTGTGGGGGGTTTTCGCCGCTTGAGTTAATCTTCGCCTGTGTATCTAAAAACGTTAGGATCTGGTTTCGCCGCTAGGGTTAATCTTTGCCGGTAGGGTTTTGTTCTATCTAATAAAGTTGGGATCTTGGATCTGAATTTTGACTGATTTTAGGGCTGCCAACATTGAATTAAATTTGATATATATATTTATGTTCGTTGTATGAAATTGATTTGATGTAATTTGAATTGTATTAATTTTTTTTATGTCAATTATATGCAGATTTCTTCTCTAGGAGATTGCTGAGAAGTTCATTATCTGATTACTAGTGACAATGTCGTCGAAATTCTTTAGTCAGGTTTGTTATCTATGATTTCGAGTAATTGTTTATCTCAAGTTTTTCAATTTTGTTTATTTTTGAAATCCGTAGCTTGTTCGATTTTTTTTTTAATATACCGATGGTCAATTAGAGATGTATGGTTATAATCCGATGATATAGTCGATAAAGAAAAGGTATTTTGAATGAAATCCGCTACTCTTACATATAAAAAATTTACGATTTTTTTTTTTACTTTCCTGAATTGCAGGGTGGTGACAGTGAGACCGAAGAGGAAGAGAGTGATTATGATGACCAAGAAGACACTAAACCAGAGGAGCCCACACAAGATAAGAATCCAAACAAATATATTGCCGACAACGATAGCGACAGTGATGATTCTGAAGGTCAGAAGCGCGTTGTCCGGCGAGTCAAGGACAAACGCTTCGACGAAATGTCGGCCACAATCGACCAATTGAAAAACTCTATGAAAATCAACGATTGGGTCAGCCTGCAAGAAGGGTTCGAGAAAATGAACAAACAGCTTGAAAAGGTCATGAGGGTGACCGAAGCCAATAAAGCTCCAAATCTGTACATCAAGGCCCTCGTGACATTGGAGGATTTCTTGAACCTGACATTGGCCAATAAGGAGGCGAAAAAGAAAATGAGCAGCAGCAATGCCAAGGCTTTGAATTCAATGAAGCAGAAGCTCAAAAAGAAAAATAAGGAGTTCGAAGATCTGATTAACCAGTGTCGCGAAAAGCCCGAACTTTTTGAGGAAAAAGTCGATGAAGAACCCGAACCTGAGGATGAGGACGAAGATGATGACGAGGATGTTTTTGACGAGGACCCCACAAATCTTGAATCTGACGAGAGTGATGAAGAGGAAGAAACCGGAAAGGACTCAACTGAACCTGGGTGGGAAAAGATGTTGAGCAAGAAAGATAAAATGATGGACAAACAGTTCAAGGACCCCAGCCAGATTACATGGGACACCGTGAACAAGAAGTTTAAGGAGATTGTTGCTGCCAGGGGTAAAAAGGGTACCGGTAGAATTGAATTGGTCGAGCAGCTCACTTTTCTAACCAGGGTTGCCAAGACACCTGCTCAGAAGCTCGAGATTCTTTTCAGTGTGGTCTCTGCACAGTTCGATGTTAACCAGAATCTGAGCGGCCACATGCCGATTAACGTGTGGAAACAGTGTGTGCAGAACCTGCTAACTATTCTCGATATGCTGACTCAGTACTCGAATATTGTGGTCGACGACATGGTGGAACCTGATGAAAACGAGACGCAAAAGGGAGCGGACCACAGTGGCACGATTCGAATTTGGGGTAATTTGGTGGCCTTTCTTGAAAAAATCGATTTGGAGTATTTCAAGAGTCTTCAGGTTATTGATCCACACACACGCGAGTATGTTGTGAGGCTCAAAGACGAGCCCACTTTCTCGGTTCTTGCTCAGAATGTGCAAGAGTATCTGGAGCGGGTCGGGGATTTCAAGGGTGCTTCGAAGGTGGCCCTTAAACGGGTCGAGCTCGTTTATTACAAACCACAGGAGGTGTATGATGCTATGAGGAAACTCGCTGAGCTGGATAATGGAGAAGCTGAGTCAGTCGAGGAAAGTAAGGGGCCCGCTGCATTTGTTGTGACTCCCGAGCTTTTGCCCCGCAAGCCCACTTTTCCGGAGAATAGCAGGACTTTGATGGACATACTTGTTTCACTTATTTACAAGTATGGGGATGAGAGGACAAAGGCACGTGCGATGCTTTGCGATATTTACCACCACGCCATCTTGGATGAGTTTTCGACGTCCCGGGATTTGTTGCTGATGAGCCACCTGCAGGATAGTGTGCAGCATATGGATATATCGACACAGATTCTCTTCAACAGGGCTATGGCACAGCTTGGGTTGTGTGCTTTTAGGGTTGGTCTCGTTGTTGAAGGCCACAGTTGCCTCTCTGAGCTGTATTCTGCTGGTAGGGTTAAGGAATTGCTTGCACAAGGTGTATCACAGAGCAGATATCACGAGAAGACTCCCGAACAGGTATTATTTTCTTTTTAACTGTCAATTTTTTTCTACTTGAAAGTTTCTTTGGAAAATCAAATAATACTAGTGGCCTGTGCTCTCTAAGATTTTTTATAAATATGCTTATTGTTAACATCTTGCATAATTCCCAACTGTCTATTTCTCTACTTGAACTTTCTTTGAAAAATCAAATAATACAAGGGCCTTTGTCTAAGATTTGCTAGGAATATGTTGTCTGTTAACATCTTTTGCATAATTCTTAACTGTCGATTTTTCCCATTTAGAAGTTTCTTTGAAAAATCATATCTTGTGATAACTAATTCTTAACTGCCAATGTTTTTTTACTTAAATATCAAGGAAAACGTATCAAGCTTAATTAATTTCTCAAAAAATCCAGGAGCGACAGGAGAGAAGGCGTCAGATGCCTTATCACATGCACATAAATCTCGAGCTTTTGGAATCTGTCCATCTTATCTGTGCCATGCTGCTGGAGGTACCCAACATGGCAGCCAACGCCCATGATGCCAAACGCAAGGTCATAAGCAAGAGCTTCCGAAGGCTTCTCGAAGTCAGTGACCGCCAGACATTCACGGGCCCACCCGAAAACGTGCGGGACCACGTCATGGCCGCCACACGTGCGCTCAAGCAGGGCGATTTCGACAAGGCCTTCGCTGTAATAAAATCCCTCGATGTTTGGAGGCTGCTCAGAAACAAGGACATTGTTCTTGAAATGCTCAAGGCTAAGATAAAGGAAGAAGCTCTAAGGACCTATCTGTTTACCTACTCAGCCTCGTACGATTCTCTGAGCCTTGACCATCTTTCCAAGATGTTTGACCTCTCGGATTCGCAGACCCGAAGCATTGTTAGTAAGATGATGATTAACGAGGAGCTCCATGCGAGCTGGGACCAGCCGACGGGGTGCATTGTATTCCATGAGGTTGAGCACACTAGATTGCAGGCACTGGCTTTCCGGTTGACTGAGAAGCTGGCGATTATTGCTGAGACGAACGAGCGGGCAATTGAATCGAGGATTGGGGGCGGTGGTTTGGATGGGCTTCCTCTCAGGCGCAAGGAGGGGCAGGATTATGCCGCTGCAGCTGGCGGTGGAGGTGGCGGCAGTAGGTGGCAGGAGTTTTCATTTAATCAGGGCAGGCAAGGGAGCTCCGGTGGGAGGACCGGTGGGTATAATGCCGGTGGCGGCAGAGGTGGTGGCTACAATAGGGATAACCGGCAAGGGCGCGGCGGTTATCAGAACCAGCGGCATCAGGATGGGGCTGGCCGGGTTTATCAATCGGGATCGAGTGCGAGAGGTGGACAAATGGATTCTTCGACAAGGATGGTTAGTCTTAACAGAGGGGTTCGCACTTAGTGAGCGGACAAAGAGATAAAAGTGCTGTTTTTGTTTCTGTTGTTTTCGTAACTTCAATCTATTTATCGGGTTTGGTAATTTTGTGATAATTTTGACTGCAGCGGCAAATAACTTGGCTCTCTGTTTTAATTTATGAAATTTTGTGGTATGAAATTTGATTGGATATTGGAACATTTGGTTATCATCTTTGATATCTTTTATCTTTCCAGCAGTAATGCCTGCCTGACTTTATGTTGCTTTTTTGATTTTATTGTAAATGATGGGAAATGAGTTGCTTAGATATATAAATATTATAGGGCAAATTACGAAGGTCAAATTACAAAAAGGCCCTCATGATTTTGGGTAAATGTAACCGTCCTTCAATTATTAATCTTTCTAAACGTCAACTTTTGCGGTGTTAAAATTAGTTAAATATTTTCCAGTTTGTACTCATTTTGTTCTATTTTGGCTCCACATTTGGAAACAAGATGATCATAAGACGTTTATCTTTGCTTGTAAATATCAGATTGTCGTGCATCGAAACCGCCTCTCTGCACAAAACAAATACAAACTAGAGAACTTTTTACGGATTTTTCAGAAATTTTTGTTTAATTTGACCTTTACCTCAGAGCTGTAATTTACCCTATGCCCGGACTCTTTTGTAACTCATGAAATTCTAATTTATTTATTTTTCATTCAAATTTAAGTTCCAAGTAAAATACACATTACAGATAATCTATAATGAAATTCTGCATTATCAGAACTTCCCTTAATTCCATTTCTTGGAATAAAGTTCCCAAAACTTGTACATGTTTGTCAAAAAAAAATACAGGTAAAAAAATGAAAAACAAGAAACAAACAGAAACTCTCTATCCAAATATAGTGAGAGTTCTCCAAGTAACTGCAGTGATTAACAATCCTGCACGAAGAGTTTCAAATACGTAAGTCCTTCGTAAGTTGGCATAGCAGTCGTATATACGTTTCCATCAACGAGGAGACATATAATTTCATGTTCAAAAAGAAATAGTTAATCTATATATTAATTATTAGTAGTAAAAAGAAAAGTGAAAACAATACCTGTTATTGCCATTTCTTTAGGCCATCTTCTTGTGTTGAATGCATCTGAGAGCACTGCATTAATGCAGAGCTTAGTTAAATATCACTTCAATAAAAATAATTCATAATCATGAAGATTAATTATTTATTTTTTATTTTTTTGAGGTAATTATAAAAATTCCAGTATTTCAAAATTATAAGAATTAACCAACCACCAATTACAATATAATCATAAGAAGAACAACTTAGGCTTCGTTCTTTTGTCACTATTAAGTCCAATTGACTAAATAGCAGGAGTAAGTAAAATGTTCGTTTGATAGATCCAAACTAATTTAGGTTTTGGTATAAAAGCTTAAACTCGCAATTAAATGTTACTGTTCCATAAAATTAGTAGATGTCCTACTCTGTCCAATTAATTTTGTAGCTAGCGACTAAAAAGATCAAAACATATTCCCTATAAAATGCTAAAAATTAGGATATGCTTATAGTTAAATTAGAGATATTATCGACAAATCACAATTAATACCATATTTTGAGAATTTTAATAGTAGATCAAATACAACGAACCGAATATTTTACTAAGTAAATAGGGAGTTAATTGAATCCAATTTAATCTGATATATGTAACCGAACGAGACCATAACAACTTTCTCCAAATTACCTGAATCACAATTAGAAGTAGAATTCCAGCTCCCACACAAGCACAAGTCAGTGTTCCCACGAACATCGTAACCGCACGATCCACCGCTCGCCTCACACGCCATGCAGAAGCTCCCACTCCCGCCGTCCGAATACGTCACTTGTATCCCGTAAGCCCATTCGCTGGGCCCGCTCACCCTCAATGGGGCCGAGCTATACACACTACTATACCCCTGGCAATCGAGCCTCGAGAGATTCACGCTCTTCACACTCTCGTACGACACCGCGCAACAATCGGGCGGGCCCGACCCGTACGCCCGGCCCGAACCCGCTCTCGGCCCGATAAAATCCCACGCAGGGCACCCGTAGTACTCCTCACATCCAAGGCCCGAAACGTTCCGGCACGGGGGGTGCTTCTCCCCCCTCTGGAAGAGGGGGGAGCGGGCCGAGCAGCCCAACAACATGAAGGCGTTGTCGGGGGCTGGTGTGAGGAAGGGGGCCCGCCAGGGTTCGAGGGCGAACCCGTTTCCGCGGGCCCCGAGGAAGAGGGATTGACAGGTGGACATGTGGGGGTCGTGGAGGACGAGGGAGGTGTACGGGTAGTCGATGTCGAGGACGCGGTAAGAGCCGGAGGGGATGTGGAGCATGAGGACGTCGTTGATGCAGTAGAGGAGGTCGCGGAAGCCTTGGTGGCCGCATCCCGGTTGCAGGGCGAAAGGGTAATCTACCGTTAGGTTTCCGCAAAAGGATCGGCATGTGTTGTTTGTGTGAGCGTAGGTGTGGACCGAGAGGATCAATGCGTGGAGTGTGATCATTAGAAAGATGAAGGAAGCCATGGGTGTGTGTGTGTGTGTGTGTGAGAGTGTGTGTGTGTGAGAGAGAGAGAGAGAGAGAGAGAGAGAGAGAGAGAGAGAGAGAGAGAGAGAGAGAGAGAGAGAGAGAGAGAGAGAGAGAGAGAGAGAGAGAGAGAGAGAGAGAGAGAGAGAGAGAGAGAGAGAGAGAGAGAGAGAGAGAGAGAGAGAGAGAGAGGTGGCTTTTGGGGACTGAGAATTGTGTTAGGATATGAATGATACTTTGCTTAGTAAGATGTAGAAATGTTTAATGTTTTGGAGGGCTTTTCTTTATTAAATGACAATGCTGTAATAGGAAAGAATCTAAGTGAATTGTTTACGGGTTTTATCCTTTATCTTTTTGTGAGGGAGCAATGGTGGTTTGTTTAACAAGATTTGGCTGACTTTTTAAGGTTTGTGTCTGGTTTGAACATATGCTTTTTTGGCGCAATCTTCAAGAATTTGAAAGAAAGTATAATTGGTGCAGAATTGCTTTATAGTCAAGTAGCAACTACTTATAAAGTTAGTTAAGGTACAGTTAACTGTGTGGAACAATCAAATCGAGATCGAGTTTTGGTGGACGGTATAAAATATAATCGATGAAGTAAACATGTAAAAATCTACCGTTCATCTACGCAAACTAAAATAAATATGTTTCAGTGTCTAAATGAACAATAATATGCTAAAAAAAAAAATTCAAATTCGATATATCTCAGGTAAAGGACACAATGATGCCCATCTTGTTCGCAGGGCAATTATAACTTAGTCCATTTCTCGTAGTATTACAAAAATGCCGCCAAACCGAAAAAGATTTAGCTAATCAATACTTGCGAACGTAAATTAAGACACACACACTAGACTGTTACAGAAAAACCTTTGCCCCTTCACCTCTGTTTCTCTGATAATTCTCAGGCTTAACCAAGAACCGAGAGTCGACTCTTGAGTCAAGGCAATGAAAAATCTCTTACACAAACTGTCGAGCTGCAACTCATTTGTCCTCTTTGTCTGCAGTTTTATGAATCGACAGCAAAATTAGATTTTGATTACAAAGATCCAAAATTACAATTTCGAACTTCCAGAAAAAGGTATTATATTACGGTCGAAAAATTACCATTGCCGGGATTCTTTGATGCGGTAAGCTGTGGCTTTATAACGATCGTTTTGACAGACTCGGCTGTAGTTGATAGAACCAAAAAGTTAGCATTTTTCAGAGGGTGCTTCTTCATACAATTTATGCACTATACTACTAATTAAATATGCATTTTTCACCTTTGAATTTTCTCTTCTTCTTTGCTCTTCTCTTCTTCCTATCGGACTTGGTTAGTTCAGTTTCTTCTTTAATGTCTCCTTTGCCGTAAAACACTTCTTCAGGAGCAAGCATAGCTGCATCAGATACCGCGAGAGGTGCAATCTACAAACAAAAACCATGTTATTACAAATTATATGGATGTATTACTAATGAAATTAAAAAAAAAAAAAAAAAACTCAATAATTATCTGGATATATTACCTCTTCCATTGCTAGGGCAGGAACATTTGCTTGAATGGACATATCCTCGATAATCTATTCAAGTTGATTAAATACCAAAATCATAATCAATAAGATGTTTTAAAAGTTGGGAAAATCGTGGAATAATTGCACGAGGCATTACTGGTTTTGGAGTGAAATGGAAATGAGTTAGAGCATCCAACTTCACGCACAGTTTCTTGAACAGCGTACTTGCCTGAAAATATTTACAAAAAAGTTAACCTAATTTCACAAAAAGATTAGACATCGACAAAAAAATAGTCACGCATTGAATGTACAACACCAGATTTAAAAAATAATCAACAAAATATAGACGCAAATGTTATGTACACACTTCTTTCTTTTGTTCATCTGAGAAAGTCAACGCGTTTGACACGAGGCCAGTCTTCTGAGCATACTCATCCTGCACCAAACGAGGGAGAGGTTAGTTCAGATGGATACGAGAAAAAAAATCCCATGGTAGAGAGGTTAGAATGTAATTGTAAATCGTCAAACGGAATAAAACATATAATCACAGAAAAATAATTCACATCTATTTCTAAAAAACACACACCTCATAAAGTTCAGAAAGGCCCTTTCTGCTCTTGGTCTCATCCTGCAAAATTTTGAAGTTTATCGTTAGGACAAACTTTCACTGCAGAATCGAAAGTAAAAATATGCAGATATAAATTATTACCAATTCCTTTCTCTCTCTTGGCGCCTTGGTTGATAAAGCAGCCGGCTTCTGAACGTCATCAAATCGTCCCTAAACATGATATCAAATGTATCAATAATCTAAAAGAACGAGCTTAGAACTATAAAGAGTGATAAAAGAAAGCAGAATCATTTATCTAAGAAAAACAATAAACATGAATAATTACACCACATAGATATGCGTGCAATAGGCTAAATACCTCGCACAACATATATGATAATGACTGACACTAATTCTAAGAGAGCCAAAGGGAACGCAGAAAATAACAATATCTAAAATGAGCATAAACATTAATCATACCTCAAGTATACGTTTCTTAATCAACTCTTCAAGAGATGCATGGGCCTCTAGTGTGATATCCGGAGCGGGTCTCACATTGTGCTCAAAATCAAGATCAACTTCCAAGGCACTATTTTTGGGTCTTTTAGCAGCAGTGATCTAGCATACGATACAGAAATGAATTGTCATACAAAATACAAAATTGCCATTGAGAATAAGTCGATAAAGATGAAAAAAGGATAAAAGTTGATAAAAAAATATCACCTCGCCCTGCATGGTCCATGTCTTTGGTTCCATGTTTGCTTTCTCCATTTTCTCTATCTCAGCACGTTTTTTCTCGAGCTCTTTTTCATGGGTGGACACACTTTGTTTCTTCTGCAGAAAATTATATGAACTTGAAATATTAAGAATAAGTACATCGAATTAATACACCAAAGAGAAACAGACATGGAGCAATATGAAGTGAAAATAACCTGCTTGTCGTTTTCGCTTTCGGGCTCGTTGGTAACCAGATTGCCTTCGCCACTGTCTTCGTCATCGTCTTCATCATTGTCTTCTTCATTGTCATCTTCATTGTCGATGTCATTGTCAGGTTCACGAACAACCTGATTATTGTTGTCACGTTCATGCTTATCCAATTTGCCCGATCTACGAAACTGATACTGATTAAAGTTTCTCTTCCGGACTTTCCTAACACCAAAGAAGTCTTCATATCTGAACCCAAAAAAAGAATGCATCAGCATGTATGAACCAGAAAACGAAGATGAATGATCAGTCAAAAAATTTACACGCTGCAAACCACGGGGAGCATCCATTACTTACAAACAAATCAGAATTTATATATTATTAACATCCTATATGATACCATCTCACTGTATACCCATCTTGCGATGGCAATTGAGCCCATCTCTTAAAAACCCAATGAATTTAACGAGTACACCCATTATATTTTGATGTTATATTGTGGTTTTACTGAAGTACGAGGTTGCAAAGGAGGTTAATCACAATCCGTCCCGCCCCGATTTGACGAATGATGCCTGCCCGTTAGAAAATGGGGCGAGTGTGGTTTTGAATACATACCCCAAACCTGTCAAGATCATTCGCAAAGCACAAGTTTTGATTTTTTGGGAAAATTTATTGATATCGTTGTTTCCTTGCCTCAATCTCAGCACACTATTAGTTTCAATTTCATTTTTTTTTTCATTTCCAACAGTTCAATTTATATATCATCGTAGACGTACAAATTTAACGACCAATCCCAAAAAAACAAAGGCAATAGACAGTTGAAACAAGTGTACTCAAGCAGACCTTGCATGTTCGGCATCATCTCCACCATCAATCGCCGCCATAAGTGCAATCTGTTACAGCCATCATGGAACGTAAATATTAGCTCCAAAGATATTCCACAAACAACTATACAAAGCTTTAAACAATCCAAAAACAAACTAAGTGAAACCCGAATTTGCAAGACTCTGCAATTTATACCTGGTCGTCCTCTTCTTCTTCTTCACTCTCCTCATCTTCATCCTCTTCGTCATCGTCCTTATCTGCAATTTTACCTCTCTTTCTCTTATTCTTATTATCCTTCTCGAGTCCATACTCCCTCGCCTCGTCTTCCAACAAATACTTCTCCAATTCCTTCATCTTAAAAAACTTATCTTCCACCCCATTAAAATTTTCTCTTTCATCATCGTCATCGTCCTCGTTTTCCTCCCCTTCTTCTTCGTCGTCTTCATCCGCATCCTCCTCAACATCATCGTTATCATCGATATCATCCAATTCATCACTCGAGGTTTCGGCGACCTCGTTTCGTGTAACTTTCCGATTCTTCACTTCTCCACTAGCCCTATCCAAATTGAATTGTTTTTTGATTTCTTCCGGATTGTTCTCGAAATCTGTGACCCGGCGGCGGATGGATGAGAGCAAAGGGTGAGCTTGGAGGTCGATTTGCTGCCATATCTGCTCGGCATCGAAATCTTCGCCGGCTAATAGCTGATTGAATGGAGATTTACGAGCGTACGGAGAGAGTGAAGCGAATAAGTACTTCGAGGCCAATCGAGCCGCCGCCTTGAGCTCCTCCGACTTCGTAAGGTAGAGCGGCGGTTCTGTGGATTTCAGCCTCTGGAGCGCTTCCAACCCAACGTCGTTTACCCCACCGTCAGCGGCGGAGGCCATGGCGCCACGTAAAGAAGAAAACTTCAGGGTTTATGGTACCAGAAATTAGGGTTTTAGGAGAAATGTTATTTTTTTTTCTTTTTATATTGAAAAGCAGAAACCAAATATTCAGGGATTAGGTTTAAGGAGGGAAGAAGAATTAGGCTGTTTTGCGGGGTACGGCGGTGGGAGGGAAGTGGCGGCGGTGGGAGGGAAGGAGAAGAAAAGGGGGCTGACGTAATGGGGCAAAGGGGTTAAGTTTCGTTTCGAAGATATATATTTAATTATTTATATTTAGGATTAATTAAATTTATTTTTTATTGAACATTTTTGGGAAAAATCCAATATTTTTTAGGCAGCGACATTTTGAACTCACAAAATTTACTTAAGGTAAGATCAAATTAATTTTTTTTATCAAATTAAGTATAAAAAGACTATAATAACCTTAATAAAAGACAAATAAAATAATTTTTTTTTATCAATTTACTTTTGCAAGATCAAATTAAAAAAGAAAAATTAATAAATAAAGAAAGAAAAAACAGAATTGAAAAACGAGGAGGGAAGAAGGGAAGAAAAAAAAATCAATTGCAGTAGACTCGCCGCCGCTCCGTCCATTGAAGTCTACCGTACCACCTCCCTCGTCGCCGTTGCAGTCGACAACCACTAGAACCTCCCCATCTGCAACTGTTGTTGCCCCACCTGCCACAACAATCAAGAAAAGCAAGTAACGAAATTACTTTTTGAATTAACTTTTTTTGAGAAATAAAATGTGATAAACATGATTTTGTTGTTAAAATAATGAATACAAGTCATATTAGAACATAGTTGATGATTTTATGGTTCGATTCTAGCACTATTGTTGAAGGAGTTGCGGTTTTCAAAAAACGACATGTATTTGTCGGATGTTTTGGTAATATTTCGACATATTGGTATCGATTTTTTCATCTAATTTTTCCACTGTCGATTATTGGAACTTTTTTCGACATCTCAGTGTCGATTTTTGTACAAAACTCTACAAGAAAACCAGAAATTTGGTTACAAAATTGTGACAATGAAATCGACGCACCAGTGTCGAAATATGTACTTAATATCGACACACCACTGTCGAAAAATTCAATATAAATCGACATAAAGAGTGTCGATTTATGTTGAATTTTTCGACACTGGTGTGTCGATATTCGGTACATATTTCGTTCAGTACACGTCGAATTTTTTGTACGTGAAATGAGGTGCGAAAAACGAGAAAAACGATCACAAAGTACAATATTACTTACCTCTTTGTGTTCTTTGATCTCAGAATCCTCCATATTTATGTCTTGTGTATCTATAATGTCCTTCTTTGTAAGTTTTAGTAAGATTTGAGGGTTTTGTGTGATGAGGTTTTTGGAGAATATGGAAGATTTTTTTGTGGAAAAAAATGTATAAAATAAGTGTGAAGAAGAAGAAGAGGAGGTTGGGGTTTTGTTGGGGGAATGAGTTCCCTTTCGTTTTTTTTTGTCTTGCAATAGCAATTAGCCTAATTTGAATTAATAACATCTAAATTAATATTGGGGTTATATTTGTAATTTTCAGTCTTGATCTTAGTACGTTTATTTTTATTTTGGTCTTGCATGAAGTAAGGTCTTGCACTTAGTAATTTTAGTCTTGCATATATTTGTTGCCTATTTTTTATTTGTGAAATAATAATTTTGGAAAACTTGAAAATTGGGATTAAGTAAATTGATTTTTTTTAAGGGTATACTCTGGCTCGATATCACTTTAGCCCTTCTACTCTCGATTGCATTAATTTTGCCCCCCCTACTTGAAAAATTATTTCAATGTGGCCCTCGCCGTTAGTTTTCAGACTTTTGACCTTAACACCGCTTGTCTAAGGTATGAAAATTACAATGAAGTCACTCCTTCTAGTTTAAATAATTATATATAAAAAATAAATAAATTGTGGTCGCCGTCGTGGACTATGTTTTCTCGTTGTATTGATTTATTTTTTTATTTCTTTTTACCTTTTTTTATTAATTATTTAAACTGTGATGGGTGACAGTTTTGTAATTTCAGAGCTCAGACCAAATGATGCTAAAGTCAAATATGTCTAACAATTAATACGGAGGCCCACATTGAGACAATTTTCAAGTGTAGAAGGGCAAATCGATGCAATCGATAGTAGAATGGGTAAGATGATATCGAACCAAAGCACAATGGAGGAAAGTGAAATTTGCCCTCTTTTTTATTGACAAAAAATGAAAAATTTATAATCGCAATCCGCACAATTAGTGGTAGCATTAACGCCTCGCGGAAAACAAATATAGTGCATATCGGTCTCCAGGACATAAAATCTTTGCTCTTGTAATTATTTCAGGAGTGTGAATGTAATTACCAATACTAGAGGGACCTTAAAGTTATTTTGATATATCTCGGGGGTGTAGGTGCAATATATCTTTTATTCTTTCTTCATTCCCTCCAATGCCCACTAATTATCATTTTCACATGGTTGACTCTTTTCATCACATCTCTGCGAAAGCAATAAATTTTCACTGAAAAATGCATACGATGAATATATAGCTGTTTCAGTTTACTGAATTCGTTCTAGATTCATCGGAGAGAGAAAGAAGAGAGAGAGAGATCACATTGAAAGATGGCTTATGCTGCTGTGATTTCTCTGAAGCAGACAATTGAGCATCTTCTATATTCTCCCCATGTTGTAAATCCCGTCCCACAAATCCTACAATCTCTGTACGAGGATGTTTCCTCTTTACAAGAACTTCTCAAAGAACTTGACAGCAGCAGCAACACCATCAGAGAGAAGGTGAACGCTAATTTGGATGGGCAAATCAGAGATTCGGTATACGAATTCGAAGATATACTCGACACCCACGCCTCGAATGAGAAATTAGAACAAGAGATCGATTCCTTTACAGAAACGGTGAAGAAGATGAAGAAGGCGTACATTGAAGAACTGCACACAGAAGAAGACGACGACGAAGACGACGGCGTTTCGCAAAGAATTGATTTTTCCGGCGGGAGTGAGTCTAAGATGGTTGGATTTTCTGCTCAATTCGACAGAGTCAAAGCCGTACTTTTGAAACAAGATCTATCAGTTACTGTCTCGTTGAACGGAATGGCAGGTATCGGTAAGACTACTCTGGCCAAGAAAATTCTTCAAGATCCATTGATACTCTCTCATTTCGATCGGTGTGTTTTTGTCACACTAGGCCCGAAATATCGATTTAAAAGAATTGCGGAAAATATTCTATCTCAAATCAATTCTGAAAGTGATGAAGTACTTGTGGAGGGAGATGATAGTGATGATGAAGCCGAGTATGACAGCGCAGACGATATGAAAATCCTTGTTGTGTTGGATGATGTATGGGAATCAAAGATCTGGGGTGAGTTGGTAGCGGAATTTCCGGACGATATTCATCAGTGCCGATTCTTGGTGACGACTAGGCTACGACAAGTAGGAGAGTCTTATTCACCTTTTTTGGCCCTGGAAATGCCATTTCTAAATAAAGAAGAAAGCTGGGAGCTTCTTCGCCACAAGGTGTTCGATGAAATGCCTTGCCCACCTCTGCTCGAGAAAGTTGGGAAGAAGATTGCTGAAAATTGCGAAGGCCTTCCTCTTGCTATCGTCATAGTTGGTGATATTTTATCCGAATCGGAGAAGACCGTGGAGTACTGGAACAAGGTAGCAAACCGAGAAGTGTCGGTTTTTGTTGATGCATATGATCAAATGTTTGATACACTGTATCCAAGCTATGAGTACTTGCCTCAACATTTAAAATCGTGCTTCCTCTACATGGGAGTTTTCCCCGAGAAGTATGAGATTCCTCTCTCCAGGTTCACCAAGTTGTGGGATGCTGAAGGATTTTCGGATCAAGATCAAAACAGACGTTCAGAATATATTGCTCATGAATGTTTGCACGATCTTCTTTCAAGAAATCTTATCAGGGTCCAAAAGGAGAGCTCCTATAAAGGAATAAAAAGTTACGGCCAAATCCACTCTTCCTACTGGTACTTGTGCAATAAAGTAGCTCCGATGAAGAGGTTTTTCCATGGCTTAAATAGTATTGCCGACAGTTTAGCAGAAGGTATAGAAAGTCAGCGGCGATTGTGCATTCGCAATAACGTTTTATTTGGCATCAAAGACGCGTACGACTCAATGGGTTCCGTTTCATCGGCACGCTCTCTCCTGTGCACTGGTCCATATCATCAATATCCAGTACCGATATGTTTTGGTTTGATGTTGCTGAGGGTATTGGATGCTCTTTCAATCCGTTTCTACGAGTTTCCACTTGAAGTGTTGAAGCTAATACAACTAAGATATCTCAGCCTCACATGTGATGGCGACATCTCTAATTCCATGTCCGAACTACGGAACCTTCGGTGGTTGATTGTCGATATACATCAGAGGATCAAATCCCCTGGAGCTCCATCGTATCTGCCTATGGATATATGGCATATGCAAGAATTGGAGCATCTTCAAATCACGGGTACCGACCTACCAAATCCATGTGAAGGATCACTCTTACCAAAACTCTCAACACTCTTGGATGTGAGTGCTCGAAGTTGTACCAAGAGAGTTCTTGAAAGAATCCCGAATCTCAAGAAACTAGGAATTCGAATCGAGTTGACTTCTGATAATGTTGATGATCAACCTTTGAGCTGCTTCGATCATATTTCCCACCTCGATAAACTACGCTCACTCAAATGCGTCGTTGTGAATCCTGGAATCATGTTTGATATTGTGGGCCCGCCTTTTCCTCTTTCAATCTTCCCGTCAAATCTGGCAAAGTTGACTTTGAGCGGCCTCGGAAATCCTTGGGAAGAAATCACGAGCATTTCCTCATTGCCGTATCTCAAGGTGCTCAAATTGCGATGCTACGCATTTCGAGGCACGAAGTGGGAAGTTTACGACAACGGATTTCCATGGCTTGAAAATCTTCTAATCGAAGACGCTGATCTGGCACAGTGGAGCGTCGGGAGTGGAAGCTTCCCAAAGCTTAAGAGCCTAACAATGAAACACTGCTACAAATTACGAGAGCTTCCTGTGGAGTTTGCTAAATCTCTTCGTAAGATTGATTTAATTGAGTGCAACCCTCTGGTTTTGACTTGTGCAAAGAAGATAAAAGAGGATGGCAATTTGTTCGATTTCAGTGTCCGTTATTCTTCGTGGGATGAAGGGAACATCAAGTCATGTGGACCAACTTGGTTCTCCAAAAGGTTAGCCATCTCAAATATGTCTCTTGACTGTCTCTATTTAAGACAACTGTAAATAACTGAAAAACAGAAAATGAGTCTTTAGGTGATGATAAGTGATAAATATGGGTGGGAATTAGAATTGAATTTCTGATTTCCGTTGAATCCAATCCGAAATTTTCCGATTTTGGATTTCATTCCGAATTCAGAATATTCATATTCAGTTATTTTCCGATATTTTTGGGATCGGAATTGGAATATATATATGACATTCCTATTTCCGATCCAATTATAATTTCCGATATTTTCTGAAAACTACACTTATAATATCAATATTATTATGCATTTTATATTTTTTGGTTAATAAACTTTCAAATTCCGCTGATTCCGATCGGAAAATTTCCTATTTTGGAACAATTTTTTCATTCCAATTTCTGATTTTTCCAATTGTTATGGTATGAAATTGGAATTAGTTTTTCACTCCGAAAAAAATCAATTTTTTTTTTCTGAAAGTACTAATTCTGATCCGATCCGTCCAATTTCCACCCCTAGATGATACTGTATTGAGGTAAGGAAAGATGGTGGGGAAATGCATATTGAGGCAGATTAATTATACATTCTGCATTTAGTACATCATGTACAAGTAATTCTTCGTTAATCTACTCTTAGTCCATTTGCCATTTCCTATTCCAAACGATATTTCATTTATATGCATGTCAAGTATACAAGATTATATTATTAATGTACATGTAGAATATATTGATGAGTTTGAAATGAAAAAAAAAACACTGCGTGGAATAAAGGATTCGATTTGTAATAAGAGGGTGTTTGGCTAAGCTTATTTTAAACAGCTGATAAGCTTTTACGTCTGATAAGATGTTTTTAGAGCTGATAAGCTGTTACATCTTATTTTTATGATTTATTTTTAGAGTGTTTGGATAATGAACTTATTTCCTATTTTTACTCATTATAAGATCTTAAATAAAAAGGTCACGTAGAGGTACTTATTTAAAAAGATCTTATTTGGTCTCCAACAGCTTATTTAAAAAAAAATTAAGATCTTTTTTTAAAAAATTACCAAACACTTTAGAAGAGCTTATAAGCTCTAAAACATCTTATAAGCTCCTTTTAACATCTTATAAGTTTAGCCAAACACAGTCTAGCTTGTATATAATTGATTTCTTTTACTCGTTGGCACATTGATATATAAGGAAATTGTGTGTGTGTGTGTGTGTGTGTGTGTGTGTGTGTGTGTGTAAAATGGACAAATCAACACACAATTTGTCTTGAAATTTTTGTAGAAATTAAACTTTCTGATGTAAAGAAAGCTTGGAGCTTATTGAGAGAGAAGAACTAACATGAACAAATCTTTGACCGTATGCTTCTGCTTCTTTTTCTTACAGGTGATAAATCATTTACATCAAGAGCCACATACTTGTTGACCAGAACGCACCAGAGGAATTACATCCGCATTATTTGCATCTTGGATTTTTTTTTTTTTTTAATTTGATAATTTTGCATCAGATCTAGGATTTTCGAATTTGTTCGTGTTTTTGACGCAGAACGGAAGCACGGTAAAGAATTAATTTCTACGAATTAATCCTATAGAACACGATAACTCTGGAATCCACCAGATAATTGAGAGAAAACTCAGAAATTTTTATTAATAATGAAGATGCTGAAAAATAAACCCTAGAGCAACTATTTATACTAAAAAAAAAAACGAAAAACCTAATCAAACTAGGAAAACGAGAAAATTACCAAAAAAAAGGAAAAACCTAATAAAACTAGGAAAACGAGAAAATTACCAAAAAAAAAAAAAAAAAAAATAACTCCTAAACCTAATAGAATACCGAAAGTTGGAAACAACCCAACTTGCGGAATTCAAATCCTAATCAAACTAGGATTCCGACTCCGCCACCTCTGCATCAATCCCTTCTTCTTCGAAAGAGCTCGACCTCGAGCTTGTATCGGGATAAAGTGGGGTATTCTCCTGATACTCGTATAAATCCGAAACGTTGAAAGTTTTCGAAATACCCATGTGAGCCGGGAGGTCGATTACGTAAGCATTATCATTAATTTTCTGAAGGACTTTGAACGGTCCATACTTCTTTGGCTTGAGCTTGCTATACGTTCCCACCGGGAATCGCTCCTTCCGAAGGAATACCATGACACCGTCCCCCGCATGAAAAGTCTTCAGCCTGCGATGCTCGTCCGCGGTAGCTTTATACTTGGCATTCTTTTGCTCGAGCCTCTTCTTAACCTCTGCTTGGACATCTCGTACTTCATTAGCCAGTCGCTCAGCCGCCACACTTTTTCGGTGCTCTTGAAGGAGGCGTATCAAATCCACTGCATGCTTCGGAGCTGCTCTATAAACCAACGCAAAAGGAGACATTCCAGTGGCGCTATGCACAGCACTATTATAGGCAAACTCCGCTTGTGGTAAAGCATGATCCCATTGCCTCGGGCGATCGCCGCAAATACATCGTATCAAATTTCCCAAAGTCCGATTAGTCACCTCCGTTTGCCCATCAGTTTGCGGATGTGCTGTGGTGCTTCGCTTGAGGGAGGTGTCAAACATCTTCCAAAGGACAAGCCAAAAATGGCTAAGGAACTTCACATCTCGATCGGATGTGATTGTCTTCGGTACGCCTTGTAAACGGACTACTTCTCGAAAGAACAGTCTCGCAATGTGAGACGCATCAGAAGTCTTTCGGCACGGAATGAAGTGAGTCATCTTGGAAAACCTATCAACCACCACGAAAACCGAATCAACCCCCCGCTGGGTTCGCGGCAAGCCCAACACAAAATCCATCGATAGATCTTCCCAAATACCACTTGGGACCGGGAGAGGTGTATACAACCCCGTATTTTGAGATTGACCCTTCGAAACTTGGCAAACATAGCACTTTGCAACTATCTTACCAACATCTCGTTTAAGTTGAGGCCAATAAAACCGCTCCTCGACGCTGCTCGTCGTCTTGTCTCGTCCCAAATGACCGCTTAGCCCGCCCGCATGTAGATCCACAATTAACTTTTCGCGAAGAGAAGTCCTCGGAATGCACAGCTGGTTACCTCTAAATATGAATCCTTCACTAATATAATAATCCTCCATCGGCTGTCACGCAACACACTTAGACCATATTTCTCCAAAATCCTCATCTCCCTCGTACAGCTCCTTCAAACACTCCAATCCGACCACTTCTTCACTAAGAGTGGTAAGTAATGCAGCTCGCCGACTTAGGGCATCTGCGACACGGTTCATGATTCCACTCCGATGCTTGATGACAAACGGAAACTTCTGCATGAAATTCGTCCACCTCACATGCATGTTGTCGACACTTTTCTGACTATTCAGAAACTTCAAAGCTTGGTGGTCGGTGTATAGTACGAACTCTCGCTGTATCAAATAGTGTTCCCACTGTTTCAAAGCTCGAACTATTGCATAAAATTCTTGATCGTAAGTGCTCCACTTCCTTCGTGTGTCACTCAATTTCTCGCTGAAGAAAGCCACGGGACGCTTTTCTTGGGACAAAACAGCTCCAATGCCTACTCCACTGGCGTCACATTCTACTTCAAACACCTTCTCGAAACTAGGCAAGGCTAGGACAGGTGCATTACTTAATTTCTCCTTGATCACTGCAAAACTCTGATCGGCCTTGTCACCCCACATAAATTTTCCCTTCTTCATACATTCAGTAATTGGTGCCATGATGGTGCTGAAATTCCGAATGAACCGTCTGTAGAATGTCGTCAATCCATGGAAACTCCTGACTTCCGAAACATTCTTAGGCGTGGGCCACTCACGAATTGCCCGAACCTTTTCATCATCGACATGAATTCCTTCCGCCCCAACTATAAATCCCAAGAACAGTAATCGACTAGCCATAAAAGTGCACTTCTTCAAATTGATAAACAGCTGATTATCCCTCAAAACAGTTAATACCTCACGCAGGTGTCCCATATGCTCGTCTTCGTGTTTGCTATAAATCAGGATATCATCGAAATACACAACGACAAATTTTCCAGAAAAGGGTCGTAATACCTGATTCATCACGCGCATGAAAGTGCTGGGCGCGTTCGACAGCCCAAACGGCATCACCAACCATTCGTATAAGCCATCTTTTGTCTTGAACGCTGTCTTCCACTCGTCCCCGGGTCTAATCCGAATCTGATGATACCCACTTCGAAGATTGATTTTTGAAAACAGCTTCGCACCTTCCAGCATATCCAACATATCGTCAAGCCGCGGAATGGGAAAACGATACTTTATGGTAATCTGATTTATTGCTCTACTGTCGACACACATCCTCCAGCTGCCGTCTTTCTTCTTCACTAGTAGCACAGGCACCGCACACGGGCTCATACTCTCTCTAATAAACCCCTTTTTCAGCAGCTCCTCCACTTTCTCTCGCAAAACCTCACATTCTTGCGGATTCATCCGATAATGTGGCAGATTTGGTAGGCTAGCACCGGGCACTGAATCAATGTGGTGCTGAACGTCTCTCATAGGCGGCAACGAATCCGGTAGGTCATTGGACACCAACTCGTCAAACTCCGTAAGTAACGGTTGCACACTCTTAGGAATTTCGACGGTTTGTTTATGAACCTCCTCTTCCTTTTGAATTCCAAAGACCTCATCATCGTCACGTATACTCCGGCTGCTGATTCGACATCTTTTATGAATTCGCTCTCAGATTGGGAGACCACAAAAACTGGTTCTTTTTCCGCTATTCTGGCAGGCTTGACCGTCGACTCCGATCGGGGTAACATCACAATCTTGCGCCCACCCCATTCAAATATGCATGAGTTTTCTCTCCCCTGATAGGTCATATTAACGTCGAATTGCCAAGGCCGACCGAGTAGTATGTGGCTAGCATCCATGTCTATCACGTCGCATGACACCTCATTGGCATAGTTCATTCCTATTGAGATAGGCACACGGCACACTTCTGTCACTTTGACTGTTGGTCCTCTCTGAACCCACCCAATAGTGTAGGGGACTGGGTGTTTTTCCACCGGTAACTTCAAATAATCTACCAATCTTCTCGCAACAAAATTTTCGCAACTACCATTGTCAACTATCAGATCGCACACCTTCTTATTAACTGAGCACTGAGAACGAAATATGCTATTTCGTTGGTTTTGCTGCATCGCCGTACAAAGAACTCGTTGCACCACGCAGTTAACTTGCTCTCCATTCTCCTGACTATGATATTCTGCCGTATCCTCTTCTTCTTGAAAAACGTCTTCATCATAACCTTCTTGATCACTCTCGCCTCTCTGCTCCGACCCACCTACTAAGTTCACGGGTCTTCTCTCAGGGCACTCGTTAGAGCGGTGCCCAGGTTTGTGACATCTAAAACAGTTTCCAGGGACTGGTCTCGCATAAGGATTGTTTGTTCGAGGCTGAACGGGCGTGCTCGAACTACCGGCACCGGCTCTCGTCTGGATCTGTGGTGCCCGTGTTGGCGGGGCAACATGATTAGGGTTTTGGGATACGAACTTACCCCTATCAACCGGCGGTGGTGCATAATTTGGCGGTCTACGATAATTATTCACGTTGTTTCGTCGCTCAAATTCTTCTGCTCGCAATGCCATACTCTGCGCATCCTGGATGGTATAAACTGGCTGCAAACCTATTCGGTCACGGATATTAGCTTTCAATCCGTTCAAATACCTGGCCACTTGCTGGTTCTCCGACTCCCTTAAATTATTTCGATCTGCCAGCTTCAGGAATTCTGTGGTGTATTCGTGTATAGATCTACTACCTCGCGAACAATTATAGTATAAATTGTATAAGTGTTGTTCATAGTCGGCCGGTAGGAATCGATCGTGAAGAAGCCCCTTCATCCTCCTCCAAGACTGCACTGGGCCCTTCCCTTGTCGAGTCCGTGATCGCTGCAACTGGTCCCACCATACAGCCGCACCACTTTTCAACTTGTACGCAACCATCTTGACCATCCTCTCGGGTGGGGTGTTCATCACATCAAAAGCACTCTCCACTTCGACCACCCAATCCAGAAAATCCTCTATGGAGAGGTTTCCATGGAAAGGTGGAATCTCAGCCCTTGTCGGATAATCGTCGTACTGCCTTTGTCCCTGCCTAGGTTGATTTCCGTCGGCTATTGCTCTGTCGTTCTCATCCAAGTCTTCGTCACTGTCCGGGTGAAGATATGGTTGGTTACGAATCTGATTCCTAACATGTGCACCTCGGGCTAATTCCCCAGTGCGCGCTATATTAGGTTCGCCCCTCCTGTTGTTGCCATTGAGGGCAATTTCCTGTAGCAACTCCCGAAGTTGTTGCAGCTCACCTCGAATCTCTACTCGAAATTCCTCTATAGTCTGTCGAGATTCTTCTCGAGCGAGCTCGACTGCTGCCTGAATGTTATCAACCTCGAGGTCATCGCCCTCGCGGTTGTCGTCTCCTTGTTTCGCACCTTTCGCCATCTAACCAGGAAAAACCTCGCTACTGATGCCAACTGACGCAGAACGGAAGCACGGTAAAGAATTAATTTCTACGAATT